CCAACAGCAATCTCGAGCCACCCAGCCCCGACCCAGCCCCCTCAGCTCTCCCCTCCTCGCCGACCACCAGCCACCAGCCGCCGCCCGCTCGCCCGATCAGGCCGACCTTCATCACCACCTAGCTCCTTCCCACCACCAGCCACGCTACCCACGACCACACCCAAGGTCATCACACATCCCACACTATCACTAGTATCAGTATCGCTGTCATCGATTCCCATCGACCTCGGCTCACTTTCGCGTCGACTTGTTTGCCCTAGGTGGTTGAGCACGCCCTCGACCGCCCCACCCCGCACACGCCCCCCACCACACAAATTACAAGATATGTCCAATCTGATTTCTCTACTAGTCTACTACATACACACACTACGTTCTTGCACAGTCTCCAATCCACAGCTGCTGTATTTCAGAATCCGAGTTCTGCCGGCTCAGGCCCAAGTTGTTGGCCCTGTGTCCCTTCGATGCTGCTGACCCCCCTCCCCGGGCCCATCTCCGACCCGCACTCCCGACCATGTCCACCCACAACCACCACACCCACACTACACATACGCACTACACCTGCAAACGTATCCACCCACTCTCTGCTCCCCGATATTTACATCAGCCGACACCATCCCGTCAACTGCATGGCTGTCCGTCGCCTGCTGCTCGCCGCTGACCGCCGCCCGCTGCTGACCGACCACCGCCGGCACCACCTAGAGCAGGCTAGCCATCGACGGAGCATCGGAGGCGATGCATACGGATAGCTATATCATTGGCAATGCCTACCAGTGCGCCCTCCAACCCAATCCTCCCCTCCCTCCTCCGGCCTTGCCCATCACAGCCCCCGCCGGCCTGCTCATCACCAGCCGCCCCTGCCGCCGATCACCAAGCTAGACGACGAGGCCTGTGGGCTGGCCAAGACAAGGAAGAACAAGAGAGGGCAAGGGCAAGCGATAGGCAATGCAGTGGTGGGCTAGAGTGCAGTGGTCTGCCTTCTCCTCCAATCACAAGCCATCGTCTCCATAGGCGTCCATCTCAATCCAATCCGTCCTCCCTCCTCGCCATCGCCGCCCAAGCCCCTCCACGCTCATCGCCCACACTCCACGCCTACCCATTATCCTCATCTCACCCGCCCACATCCACCCGCAAGCCCAATCGCCATACCTACCGCCCCCTCCGCCCGCCATGCCTCCCACGTCACGACCCCCCTCATCCCCCCCTACTATACTCATTACGCCCCATCACCACAAACCACCACCCGCACCCCCTACTCCACCACCATACCTTCCATCCCAGCCACAACCCCCACCCACAGGTCATGGTCATGCCCAACACCTTACCATCGCGCACCCCGCTTCCTCTTCCTCCTCATCTTCCTCCTCTCCTTACTTCAGCTCACCCCCATCCCCATCCCCGACCCTGACACCCATACCCCTCAACCATCACATGCCAGACTGCCCAATCTCCAACCAACAGCAATCTCAAGCCACCCAGCCCCGATCACGCCCCTCAGCTGTCCCCGCCTCGCCGACCACCAGCCGCCAGCCGCCAGCCGCCTCCCGCTCGCCCGATCAGGCCCACCTTCATCACCACCTAGCTCCTTCCCACCACAACTTACGCAACCCGCGACCACACCCAAGGTCGTCACTTGTCATGCACTATCACCAGTATCAATATTGCTGTCATCGATACCCATCGACCTCGGCTCATTTCCGCGTCGACTTGTTCTCCCTAGGTGGTTGTGCACATCCTCGACCGCTCCACCCCGCACACAACCCCACCACCGCCATTGCAAGATATGGCCGATCTGAATTCACTACTACCCTACTACATACACACACTACCCCCATGCTCGGTATCCAATCCACAGCTGCAGTATTCCGGAATCCGAGTTCTGCCACCTGAGGCCCAAGCTGTTGGCCCTGTGTCCCTTCGATGCTGCTGACCCCCCAGCCCCGGGCCCATCTCCAACCCCCACTCCCCACCATCTCCACGCAGACCGGCAACGCACGTCGTCGCTCGCGTGGAGCGCCGTTTGCATATTTGCCAATGCGGCCTTGATCGTCGCTCGCGGATGGGCCCCCACGTCGACGGCGCGGGCCACTGATGCCACCGCCGAACAAGCAAGCACCACAAGTGGTCCCGTTGTCCAGTCCGAGTCGGGCCTTGACCGCATGATGCAGAGCATGAGCACGTACTCGACGAGAGGTTCGAGGTTCGCGCTGGGCGCAGGGGTGGCGGTGCGTGCAGGTGAGGCGGCAGGCGCACTGGACGCCGCCGGGGCAAGCGCAGGAGCGGGCGGCGCGGGCGCGGCCGGACCAGGAAGAGCGGGCGCGGCAGTGGGCACAGGAGGCGCAGCGGACGCGGGTGGCGCGGGTGACGCGGCGGGGGCCGCGAGGGGCGCGGGCGCGGCCGGCGCGGGCGCGGGCGGTACTGATGCATCGGGAGCGGCCGGCGCAGGTGCAGCGGACGCGATAGACATGGTGGGCGTGGCAGGCGCAGGGTGCGGCGCGACGGGGGCAATGGATAGCACAGCTGCGGTTGGCGCGGGAGAAGTAGACGCGGGGACTGCAGCGATTGTGGCCGCATCAGGTGCAGCAGGCGCCACAGCAACCGCGAAAGGCGCGCCACCAGGTGCTGGAGCAGGTGCGAGAGCGGCCTGCGCGGGCGCGGCAGGGGCCGGCGCGAGAGGCGCGGGAGCTGCATCGGCCGCAGGAGGCGCGGCGGGAGTGACGGGCGCCACCGGCTGCGCCTGTTGCGCGGACGCAGGCGGCGCAAGCGCGGCTGGCGCAGACGCCGCGGTTGGAGTGAACGCCGCGGGCGCGGCGGCTGCGGCCGCAACAGGCGCGGCTGGCGGCACACCGAGCGCAGTCAGCGCGGCGGGGGCAGCGGGTTGCGCGCCAGCGGCCGACGAGGGAGACGCGGGCAAGGCAGACGTGGCGGGCGAGGTGAGGACAGGAGGCGTGCCGGACGCGGACGCACCCCTCGGCGACGCCGCCGCCAACCTCTTCTTCCGCTTCACCGGCGTCGCGTACCCGCACTCGAGCACCGAGCGCCGCCGCTTCTGCGCGCTCGGCGCCGCCCGCACCAGAAACGCCCGCAGCTCCTGCTCCCCGCCCGCTCCCTCCCCCAGCCGCAGCGCAAGCAAGTACTCGAAGTACTCGAGGTCTCCGTCCACAACACGCCCAAAGAGACCGTCCACCCGCGCCTCCGAGAGCCCGAGAACCGCTGCAGCCTCGTCGTCGCTCTCGCCTTCGCCGGACGAGCCTGAGTGCGTCGAGCGAGGGGAAGCCGGCGTCGAACACGACCTGGTAGGAGCGGCGAGCGATACACGGGAGCGCAGAGACGCGCTCGCTGATGAGGGAGGAGCGCCGTGTCGCGGCCCTCATGCGCGAGTAGCAGAACGCGGCAAGCTACGCCGAGGCGAGGTGCCAAAAGCCGTTACCCTCAACGCCCACGATGCCCTCTTTGGCGAGCCACATGGCGATGAGGCCACCCGTGAGCACGGTGTTCGAGCAGATGCTGCTCCGGGTGGTGGCGACTCGGAGGACGACCGCAGGGATGGCGACACGGCCCGGTTTCCGACTCGGACCCTCGCCGTCAGGGTGAGCGAACGGATGCTCGACCCGTGAGGACAAAGTGGTCCTCTCAAGCTCGGGACCAGCTCGGGACAGGGCGTCGTCCGCCTCGCAGGCGCCGGCGCGGCCGCCGACTCCACCACGTGTCTTCGCTCGCGCCTCAGCGGCCTCACCTCCGACCCGTCTTCACCCCTCCTCCTCCTCACCCGTGCTGTGGTAATGGCGGCTGCCAAGCTGGAGACGTCCTCCGCTATGGTGGACGTGCTCACGCGTGCGGTCACCGACGCGGCCGACCTCGTTTCTGGGCTCAGCGGCCAAGTGACGCAGCTGCGTGGCGAAGTGACGCAGCTGCGTGGCGAAGTGACGCAGCTGCGTGGCGAAGTGACGCAGCTGCGTGGCATTGTCATGCACAAGAGGGGCATCGTGATTTCTGGGCTCAGCGGCCAAGTGACGCAGCTGCGTGGCGAAGTGACGCAGCTGCGTGGCCGAGCTGCGTGTGGCCAAGAATGAGCTGTTTGCGGCGGAAGAGAAGCTGAAGGAGGCCTGAAGGAGGCGGAAGAGAAGGCTGAGGAGAAGCTGCCGCAGGCCGAGGAGAAGCTGCTTGCGGCCAAAGCCGAGCTGGTCGCAGCCAAAGCCGAGCTGGTCGCAGCCAAAGCCGAGCTGAGGGAAGCCGAGGAGAAGCTGCAGGCGGCAAAGTGGGAGAGTGTCCGGGAGAAAGCCCGCCCTTTGGACGTCATTTCCGCGCCGTCGAATGCCTCGGCGAAGACTGTGGAGGAGCACGTGCACCTGGAGGCTCTCTCGCCGGTGGGCGATCCGGCTTTCCTTGTTGCGCTTGCGGACGGTGGGCTGCTGGCCGAGAACGAGGTGGGCGACATTGCTGCGCTCCGCACCGCGGTTTGGGACGGATCTGCGGGCGCTGGACTGCAGACAGCGCTTGCGTCGGCGCTCAAGGCGCGGCTGGGCGCGCTCTACTTTGCAGAGCGCGGACCCGGGGTCGCCGCCCTTCAACTCCGGAACTCTGAGGTCGCGTTCACCGGGCTGCTGGGCTCGGCGGTTGCGAGCGTGCTCGCGAGGGGCTTTCCGTGGGCCGTAGCGGTCACGGAAGCGGCCACGTGCGGTGTGCGCAACTCACGGGGCTCGCCAGCCAACCTCGTGGTCTACGGGCGGGCCGATGGGGAAGAGGGCCGTGCCACCACGGTCGAGCGCGAGAAGCTCCGTCCGAGCCTCGTGGTGGAGCTCGGGTCGTCGGCCAAGAACGTCCAGGCAGCGGCATACGCGCACAACCTTGCGATTTGCTACGGCGACGTGGAGCATCAGGTGCCGATGGCGACGCTGGAGGGGCCGCATCCGACGGCGTCGGACTTTACGTGGGCACGCTCACCCTCCGGGCGTTGTTGTCCGTCGGTTGCCGAGCGGGCAAGCGACGCGAGGACACGGACGACGGTGCCGTTTGGGACGTGGGAGTATTCAGACCTCGACACGTTTTGCGAGGTGTTTGCTACGGCTTTTGTCGCCGGCCTCAGCGTGGTGGCTGCGACGGCGGACCTGTTGCTGACTGGGCGCAGGCCGCCTGTGGTGCTTGCGGGCGCCAACACGTGCATGGTGGCCTCGCGACGGGTGTACAAGTGGTTCCGGCCCTCGACAGCCTCGTCGCGCCGGATCAACTTGCCCATGTGGACAGCTCACTCGCCGGCGGCCGAGGCGCGCGTGCTCACTGAGAGCGGCGGCAGCGACGCTCCGCGCGTGCTTGTCACCACGTTTCTCGCCCACGAGTCGCACTCGTACGTCCGGGTCGGCCACTTTGTCTCGCTCATCGGCTGGCTCGAGGCCATGCGCCGCGACTCGCTCGTCCACGGTGACATCCTGTTCCGCAACATCCGCTTCCCGGCTCCGATCGAGAGGCCCGTGTGCGACGTCATCGCCAGTGCTCTCGCGGCTCTCGACGACGGGGCGTACTTTGCCGCGGCCGTTGCGACGGCTCAGGCGGGCAAGGCCGCGGCGGACGCGCTGGCCGAGGTCCTGCGCCTGCTCGCCAACCCCTGCCTCGAAGCTGTCGCGGCGAGCAAGTCACTGCTGTACGCGGCACTGGCTGACGATGCAGACGGCGTCGTGGTGCCCGTGTGGCAGGCGGTGGTCATCGACTACGATCTGGCGCGCTCGACGGACGAGGAGCCCCGGTACCCGCCAGGCTTTGTTGTGGACAAGAAGGAGTTGCCAGACGGGGCGCGGCACAAGGGCGCCAAGGGCAACCTGCCCATGGCGCCCGTCCATGACGTGTTTGCTGTCAAGGCTCTCCTCGAGCAGACTGTACCGAAGGACAGCGGCCTGCTGGCGGGTGCCTTGCACGGAGCCGTTGCCTTGGACGCGGTGCCCGAGACGCACTACTGCCGCGAGATGTGGAAGGCGACACGGGGGATCGGGCGGTTCGACGGTGACGGGTCGCAGTGGTGCACCGCTGCGCTCTCTGCGCTCGTGGGCATCCCGCTCGACACGAGGCTTGAGGTACAGCTCGATCCTAGCCCCAAGGCGTCGTCGTCGCCACCCACCACTCCGCCAAAGTGAGTGTCCAGCACCACCCTCATCGGCGAGAATGTGCGTAAGCGAGTCGAAGACTCGACGTATCCTTGCGCACCCGACGTACCATGATGGACATTTCGAGGGGAAGTACTTGCTTCCGCCACGCAGCGGCCCTCCACGCCTACAACCTACCGCGGAGCAGAGCCGCCGCAACGGCACGCCGCAGCCCGGGAATGTCGCTCGGACCCACAACGATTTCAGCATCGGCGGCAACAAAAGCGGCAAACGCCAGCGCAAAGACCCCGCTGTCCGACAGGTTGGTCTGCTGCGGAAGGCCGACAGGTTTGACGACATGCCACTGCGACATGTCCAGCCTCCTGCCCGTCTCCTGCTCCACCTGCAGCGCCACATACTCCTTCAGCGCCTCTGCTAGCCCGCTGTCCACCTCGCCCGCCATCGAGTCGTAGAACGTGATCGTTTTGGGTCCAAGCTCAATAGCCACCGTGAACCAGTGGCTATTGTCCAAGTTGACCGGGACGATGATCTTGGCCAACGACATGATGCCGCCGTCGACGGCATTGCCGAGCCACTTGGACACCCTGCCATAGTTGAGCGTCCGCCTGTCGAGGTACAGAGCAGCGGCGAGGAACGAGTTGGTGAACCAGACCTTGTGCCGCGTGAACCTGTTGAAGTGAGCCTGCAGCAGCTCCATATACGCGTTGACGATCCTGTCACTGAGCCACCCGCCAGGCTCGAGGCGGACAAAGTGAGCCCTGGTGAGGGTTATGTTGCCGACATCGGCCACGCCCCGCGCGGTACACGCTCGCATGACATGGTCCACCCTCTCCTCCTCGAAGGGGGATAGCGGGGGCTTGATGCAAGCGAGCCAGCCTCTGCGTGTCATGCGCTCGTCGGTACCGAGGAGCTTGGCGGCCTTGGACTTGGGCCCTGACTTGGCGGCAACCTCGCGCTTGCGCTTGCGCTTGGCCTCGCGCTTGAGGTGCTCGAACATGGGGACAACGTTGGGCTGGGCAGCGATCTCAGCCAGACTTGACTTGCCGCAGCCACCAAGACCGTTAAAATCTCCGGCCACCTTGCTCGCTCCCTTCAACAACTCACGGACGACGGCAGCACGATTCGAGGGTAGTGGCACGTATGCAAGTTGGACTGGCTCGGGGGGGAGCTCGGGGGTCTTAGCCTCGGCCTCAGAGAGCTTCGCTCCCTCGGACTTGGGCTCGGGCTCGGTGTCGAGTAGCTTGACCTCACGCCTGAGCCGGCGATAGGCCTCAGGCCTGCGCTTGCACTTTCGCTTAAGCTCATGTCTCACGGCCTTGACGACCTCGAGCTTGAGCTCTCGCCTGAAAGGCTTAAAGGCCTTTGCCTTGGGCTCTGCGTCGGGGGGTTTGGTAGCCTCAAGCTTGGGTGGGGGCTCACCGTTGGCAAACTTTGCGACCTCAGGCTTGATCCCGACCTCGGCATCAATCGTCGAGAGCACCTTCAGCGAGCGAGTCGCCAGGTCTTCCAGCAACGCCTCGACAGAGTTCTGGTGCGCGTCATACGGTTCCAAGCCATGGTCAAGAAGCGCATAGGCTGTGGCCACGCGATCGACCTTGTCGGTTGGAGTGAGATGTCTGTGGCGCCAGGTCTGGAACTGGTGCTCTTGGTCTGGCCCTTGGAAGTAGCTGTACATGAGCTTGATGATGGGGTGGAGAGCAGACGCGGCAGACTCCGCTGCTTTTTGCATATCAGGCCTGGATGGATCATCTTGGAGCGCAGCATGGTCAGCCTCGGCAGCAGCAAGGAGGTCGTTGAGGTTCGCTAACTTGTGGGGTGCAGGGAACGCTTTGAACGTAGCAAGCGAAAGGCTGCCATGGTTGAGGAACACTGGGAACACCTTGCAGTGGTTCGCCCGACAAAGTGCGGTCTTGGCCTCAGCCACAGCCCAGCGTGTGGCGAGAAAGTACGCCGAGACAATGATGAGGACGACACGCGAGGCCTTGACAATGTCAGCGCAGTCATCTGGGTATTCACACTGTATGCCGTCGAGTGAGCTGGTGTCCACAAAGACGCTGAGGGACTGGTCGACCCTCAGGATGCGATCACGGAGCGCAACCGCATAGCCCTTGTCGTAACTACCATGACATATGAAGACGTCATAGGTCTTGGTGGGTAAAGCGGATGACGATGGCGGCATGGAATCGCCATTAGAGTTGGGCGAGAACTCGCTTGGAGATGGCGGGAGAGGCATTGCAAGCGACGAAGTGGCGGCGACAATTGGCTTAGCAGCCTCTGGCTCGGGTTTTGACTCGGCGACGGCTTCACGCTCGCGCTTGGCCTCGCGCTTGGCCTTGCCTCCAGACTTGGCCATACTCTTCTTACGGAGATAGATATTCATGCTACGGGCGACGGTGACCTTGACCGCGTCCTTGTAGCCCATGCTGGCCAGGGTGTCGCTCGAGGCGCCGGGTTGGAAGCCCCGGCGGTGCCACACCATTGACCGCTTTCCAGACCCGAAAACTACATCAAAGTACTTGCGGAGGCCATCAACGGCAGACTTGTGGCTCGACGGGCTCTTGCTGCCGCCAAACACCTGCTTCCACGCCGGCGTCCCCGCTGCCGACGCGCCCCACTTGCGCAGACCCTTGACCGAGAACGGCATGCCGTAGCTCTCCACCGTCTCACCCGGCGGAATGAGGTCAGGCCGCCACGCCACGTACTTGCTCGCCACACCACCGCCGTGCGCAGTGCCCTTGTTGAGCTCGGCGAGCAAGCCCTTCAGCCGCGCCTTCTCCTTCGGCTTGGGCCCGCGCTTCTTCCCCCCTTCTTCTCCTTCTCGCGCCGTCGCACGACGACCCTCTTCACACCAGGTGCAAGAGGCAGGGTAGGATCGACAAGCTCTGCCCACGTTGGTGTCTCGACGCCGGTAGCATCAGCCACCACGGCGACAATCCGAGTCGAAGCAAGGTTGATGGCCACGTCGGAGCGACCGAGGGTGAGATAGCTGGCGTTGTCCGCCTGCAGCACCCACCCCGCTGCATACGCCCAGAAGCAAGCCGTACAGAGCAGGAGAGTTCGACGAGGCTTGCAGGGCGGCGTCACAGGCGTGTGGAGTGCGGCGGCCACGACGCTGTTGCCTATCTCGGCGAGGGCAACCCCGCACGACGGACAGCTGGCGAACGGCGAGCCCGAAACCACCGGGGCGGCTATCCCCGGCCCGGCTTTGGGCGGGCGGAGGTCGGGGTAGAGGCGTGTCATGTGCTGCTGCCATATGGGGGGGAGTTCTGGTGTGGTGCCCATGTGTGTGTGTGTGTGTGTGTGTGTGTGTGTGTGTGTGTGTGTGTGTGTGTGTGTGTGTGTGTGAGAGAGAGAGAGAGAGGTGGGGACTGCCAGAGGGTGGTGCACTTTTTAACGTGCGGCGCTTACTGGAGGCGGCTTGAGGCAAGGGTGAGTACCTCCATGGTGGGCTTCTCCGACAGCAACAACGCCGACAACGCGCACCAGGCAACGACGCAGGTGCTGGACCTCGTCCGTGCTTCGCCTGACTCGCACTTTGGACGTGGCATGCTTCGTCCTGGCCTGCTCGCGCAGATCAACGTGGCGCTCGGCTATCGGGCGCCGTCCACGAGACGTCGTTGAGCGAGAACGCCTGCGCCGGGTACTCGGCCATCGGGCACAGAGGTTACGGTATGGCACGGGGCCAAATCGGGCCTACCTGAAGAGCATTAGCACCAATATCGCTCTATTGATAGTCACGTCCATCACAGCTTCAGGCTATCCCAGCGGCACCGTCCTCGCCACCTCCTTCCGCCCCCTCCGATCGCCCATAGCAGCCACCATCGGCCCCTGCACAACGTCATACAACGCAATCCCAGCCGCGGCTCATTTGACTCTACCCATTGCGAAGCTGTGTGCCCTCACACCCAGCCGTCTGTCTGTCTCCGCCCAATCGGTTTCTTCGTTTTCCTCCGTGTCGCACACTTCTCCCGCCACCCCACCCACCCACCCACCCACCCACCCCAGCCACACACACACACACACCTCGACAGCACACCATGAACTCGAGTACCTTCTCCCTCGCCACAAGCACCCTTGCCGGCTCCGTCGCCGCCCATCGACGGGCGCAGGCAACGACGACTCGACATGGTCCTGGAACAACTTTGGCGAGTCGGGCTTCGAGTCCGGCTTTGTTGATGCCGGTGCCGACGACGACTCGGCTTCTGCTCAGCTCGCACCGCCCAAGAATGACGGTGTCCTTGTTCTCATCGATTGCTCGCCATCGATGATGGTGCCAGTCGAGAACACCCGGCCGAAGACCGAAGACGACGACAGCGACGACGGCGATGACGACGACCTCAACGAGCCCGAGTCCGGCTACCGCCTTGCGCTCCGCGTCGCCAAGTACGTCATCCGCGACAAGATGATCTCTTCACCATCGAGCGTCATTGGCGTGTGTCTCTACGGCACTGCCGAGACCCGCAACTCGGCTGGATACTCTGGCATCTACATGCTCATCGACATGGACTTTCCGGACGTCTCCATGATCGAAAAGCTGGAGGACGAGTTGGCCAAGGACCCTTCAGAGCCGTTTGCCTACGGCCACTGGGAGCCTCCCGCAGGAACCAACAATCAGTTCCCGTTCGAGACAGCGCTGTGCGCTTGCAACGAGCGCTACCAAAAGGTGACTCGGACCCGCCTCGGCGGCAAGCGTATCTGGCTCTTCACCAACAACGACAACCCAAACCCGACAGACCTTGCCCTCCGCCGCATGGCCCAGACTCGCGCCGAAGACCTGCTCCAGCTCAACATCGCCATCGAGCTCTTCGCCGTCGAGCCGCCACCGGTCCTCGCCCGCACCCCGTTTGACGTTCACAAGTTCTTCCTCAAGATCATCGCCGTCGACGAAGACTCTGACACCGGCGTTCCCGACTTCTCTGCCATGTCGCAGTTTTCCGAGATGCGCTCCTACTGCCGCCGCCGCATGCACCACAAGCGCGCCGCTGCCATTGTGCCATGGACCCTGTTTGACGGCGTCCAGGTCGGCGTCGAGATCTTCAACAACATCCAGCGTGAGAAGAAGACTCCTCATGTATGGCTCGATGCAGAGACCAACGAGCCGGTTCAGTCGCACCGCTCGTGGATCTGTGCCACCACCGGCGCCGAGCTCCAGCAGTCCCGCATCGCCACGGAGTACCGCTTCGGCGACCGCATGGTGCCCATCGCCCGCGACGAGATCAAGGCCATCAAAGCCTCCTTTGGCGAGCCCTCACTCACACTCATGGGATTTAAGCCGCGGTCCGCGCTCGCAAAGCACCACAACCTCCGCACCGCGCAGTTTGTCTATCCCCACGAGAAGAACATCTCCGGCTCAACCCGCGCATTTGCCGCTCTCCACGACCGCATGATTGCCAAAGACAAGATCGCCATCTGCCGCCTCATCACCCAGGCCGGCGGCGAGCCCCGCTTTGTTGCCCTCCTCCCGCAGCCCGAGGTTCGCAATCCCGAGACCCGCGTCATGATTCAAGGCCCGGGCATGCATCTCGTCACCCTGCCGTACGCCGACGACATCCGTGACCTCGCCATCTCAGGTCGTGACCTGCCGCCGCCCACAGCCCAGCAAGTCAACGCCGCAAAGGCCGTCGTCACCAGCATCGACCTCGAGGAGTTTGACACCGACGCCTTTGCCGACCCTGCCATCCAGCGCCACCTCACTGCGCTCGAGTCCATGGCCCTCCAGCGCGACGACGTTGGCGAGGTCGAGGACGCCGTCATGCCCGACGAGGAGGCCATGGCCGACTTTGCCGAAGAGATCAATGGCTTTGCTGCCGCGGTCTACCCTCCGGACTACGTCCCGCCCACAAAGGCTGTTCCCAGCCGTAAGCGCAAGGCCACTTCCTCAGCCGCCGGCCCCGCCGCAAAGCGCTCCAAGCCCGCGCAGCCGCTCGACTGGCTCACGCTCGCCAACCAGGGCAAGCTGGGCAAGGCCACCGTCGCCACCCTCCGCGACTACCTCAACTCCGAGGGGATCGCCATTCCGGCACGCGCCAAGAAGGCGGACCTCATTTCCCTGGTCAAGGTTCATCTCGGCGTCGCTTGAGTCGGCGCCGCCTCTAAACTGCATCACAGCGCAGACACCAGCGCGTCCGCCACAAAGCCCGACGCCACCAGCGCCCCATACTGCGAGTTGGCCCGGAACTTGGCCACGGCGTCAGTCGCCGAGTCCAACTGGAGGCTCGCCACCTGCCACGCAAGGTGGGCCCCGCCGCCCACAACCGACAGCGCAAAGAACGGCGCGCCCAGCCCCGCCATCACCCCCGACACCGCGAGCAAGCCGGTGGACGCCGCCGCAAACGCGCCCAGGTATGCCCGCGGCGCATGCGCCGTCGCCAGCGCAGACGACTTGATCCCGACCTTGACATCGTCCTTCATGTCGGAACGCGCGTAGATTGTGTCGTACAGAAGCGTCCACGCCACTCCAGACCCGTACAGCGGCGCGAGAACCTCGAACGGCATGCCCAATGCGGAGCCCGACTGCGCGGCATACCCGAGCCACACGCCCCAGTTAAAGGTGAGGCCCAGAAAGAGCTGCGGCCAGTACGTGATCCGCTTCATGTATGGATATGCCACTACAAGCCCAAGCGACGACGCCCCAAGCGCAATCGTCGACAAATCATACTGCGCGAGAATGCCGAGCCCGGCAAAGCCGTGCCCGACCACGTACGCCGCCGCCTGCCTGCGGGTCAGCTCGCCCGACGCCAGCGGACGGTCACGTGTCCGCTCTACGCTTCGATCCAGCTCGGCATCCCACATGTCGTTGACCACGCAACCCGCCGAGCGCATGATGAGTGCACCTGCGCCAAACAGCGCCACGTTGCTCACCAGGGCCGGCAGCGCCTCCGGCAGGCCGTCCGCTGCCGCCGCAAGCGTCAGCGACCACGTACACGGCCACATCAGCAGCCATGTCCCAATCGGCCGATCTGCACGCGACAGTCGCAGGTACGGCTGCATCCACTTGGGGCTTTTGGCCACCCACGAGACCGCCGGTGGATCCAGCGCGTTGTACGCCACCCCGCGCCGGCAACGCGTCACGCACGCCGCCACCACCACCTGCCCGCCGCCTCGCCCGCCGCCCACCGCCGCAGCTCCCCATCCTGCCGACATCATCGGCACACGCCGAGCCACTCCCAGCATGTCACTACTCCTCGCGCCACTTCCTGCTGTGTGTTGCCCTCCCTAGAAACGCTGACCTCCACGCTCGTCGCCGCGTCGCTCAGCGAGTCGAGTGCCACGCTGCCGTCGTCCACGCCAGCCGCTGCCGTAGCCACTCACGCAGAGTCTCGGGCCATGCACCTCACCCGTCTCCGCTTTGCCCAGGCCTCTCTCTCAGCCATGTCTACCACAGACATTACTGTCCGTGGTGAGACGGCCGTCATCGACGTCTCGCGCTATCCGCACACTCGGGTCGACTCGCTCCTCTCGCGCTACTTTCCACGCCTCTTCCCCACACGCAAGGAGGCGGCAAAGGCGATCTCTGCTGGTCGGCTTCGAATGGGTGTCGGGATGTACGAGGAGACTGCCGGAGAGTGCGTGGCTAATGGTGGATTGGAAGCGCCCGAGGCCGGCTGGCTGGCGCTGGCACTTGACCCCATCGCCAAAGCCGTCCTCGCCACGGCTGTTGTCCACGACGACGATGGTCGCAAGCTGCTGCAGCGGACCGTCACTGTTCCCGACTCTGCTGAAGGCGGCATCAAGATCATCAACGCCGCCCTCGCGTGGTTTGCTGACATGGGCCTTTCTGGCCGCAAGCCTGTCCGCCGGCTCATCGGTGCCCGCGCCTTTGCCGTCGACGACGTCACCGTGGCGACCAACGTCTTTGTTGCCGCCGGCTCGCGCCTCACGCTCCGCCTTCCGATGCAGCCGCTCGCGCAACTCCGCTCGTCGATCGCCGCCACCATGGCTGTGGTTGTCGTCTACGAAGACAGCGTCATGGCGGTGGTGGCCAAGCCAGTCGGACTCTCGCCAGAGGCTCGCGGCCGGACCCCGAGCCTCCGTGGCCTCCTCCCGCAACTCTTTCCTCCCCATCTCCTCCCGCCACACCTCATGCCTGCTGACCCGATGCCGGTACCGCGGCTGGCAAGCATGCTTGACAAGCATGTCTCGGGCCTTATGGTTGTTGTCAAGTCGCGCTCGGTCCAAGACTCGTGGGGCATCGGAACGTACACTGCGTGCCGCGCTGGCGGCTCGACCATCGTCACCGGGTGGGAGGCGCTTGTTGTCGGCGAGCTTGGCGACGTCGGCCAAGTGCTCTGCCTTGGCACCACCTACCCAAATAACGACCGCTGGTCGCAGATCGAGCCGGAGATGACTGTCGTCCCGGTGGCGTGCGAGGTCGGCGTGCCTGATGTCGTCGACGGCGCCACGCCTGGCCTCTGCTGCGGCGACCATGCTACCACCGTCCATGTCGCCGTTGTGGCACGCGGAAGCTCGAACAATCTCGAGTCCATTTCACGAGTCCGCGCCGTTGTTGTCCGCGACGGAGGCGCCATTCGCGCCGTCCCTCGCCTGCTCCGGGATGCAGGCACCCGGTCATCGGCTGCGGCAAGGGCATGTACCAGTCTCGGACGAGAACATCATTCGTCCACGCCGGCGAGCTGGCGCTGGTCCATCCAGTGCACGGCACAACGCTGTACGTGCAGACCCCGGTCGATGCGAGGTTCGAGACCAAGCTCGCGCGTGAAGCCAGCTTTCACTCGATCAAGGCTGCTGCCAAGGAGGCTGCTATTGCTGCAGCTATTGCTGAGCCAGACTCCAAGTGGACTGAAGACGACCGCGAGGCGATGCAGCGGCTGCCGATTCCGTACTTGCTGGGCAAAGCCCGGTTTGCTGGCCTCGAGTTTACTGTCACCAACGACGTTCTCGTCCCGCGAGTCTCGTCCGAGCCGCTGGTCGATGCTGCCGTGGCGGCGCTAGCCGCACGCCAGCTACCGGTCACAGTGGTAGATCTTGGCACCGGATCGGGCTGCCTGATTGTGGCGGTGATGGCCAAGCTCTTTGCTGCCGGCGTCGCAGTCGACGCGGTCCGCGGCGTTGGTGTCGACATCTCGCCGCAGGCTCTGGCTGTGGCACGGCAGAATGCGTTGGCACTGCTGCCAGGCGAAGCTGACATCACGTTTGTAGAAGGCGACTTTGCAGCGCTTGACGTCCTCGGCCTGACTGGCGTTGATGTAGTGGTGTGCAACCCGCCGTACCTTGCATCGCGGGCGCCGACCGCCTACGATGCCGCGAGCACGCTCGTCGCCGAGCCGGAGATTGCGGTGGTGGCTAGCGAGGCCGGGCGGGGCGCATACCTCGCCCTCGCCGCCGCCTTTCAGCGCACGCCGGACTTTCTTGCCCGCACTATTCCTGGCGAGCTTGTGCTTGAGGTTGGCGGCCACCACCGGAACGAGAGCATCGCGGCCGAGTTTGCGCCTCAGTTTGAGGTTGTCGACGAGCTTGTGACGCCTCAGGGAGCGGCGCGCGGGCTGCGGCTGCGGGTATGCATCTAACTCGTCGCCCGCCAGCTGGCCGATGTGTTTCATTTGAGAGGCTCCTCAAAGGTTATGCTGCGGTCTCTGGGACGACATCCATGTCAGTGGGCGAAGTGTCGGCTGGCGGAGCAGGCGCCGAAGAGGGCGCGGCGACGTCCATGGGCTCAGGCGTCGGGTTGGCGGCGGGAGTGGTGGACGCGGCAGGAGTCGCCGAAGCAGCAACGACAGGCAGGGTGGGTGACGGGGCGGTCGACACCGATGCCGACGCCGACGCGGCCTTGGCCTCCACAAACGAAGCCTGCATGGCCTTGAGGCGCTCGGCGTTCTCGCGGAGCGCGTCTGCGTCGAGGTTGCGTGAACGCTTGCGCTTGCCCATGAGGCGAATGGCCTCAAACGACGGGTCGTTCTGCCCGTAGGCGAGCGAAGTCTGCCACGAGCGAGCGCACTGCATCATGGGCGACGACTGGTTGAAGAGGGCGCGGACGGCGCGGGTAAAGGTGACGTCGCTCGGGTAGCTCTTGGCGTCGGTGCCGACAGACTCGGGCACGCCCTCTGGCATGAGCTTGAGCAAGCGCACACGATCGCGAGCCTTGAGCCGCATAAACGCTTCATAGTTAAGGACTCGCGAGAGATCGGCGCCCACCAACAGCGACGACGACGAGGTCAACATCTCGTCAATCTCTTCGCGGTTCATCTTGCGCAGCTGTTGCGAGAGCGGAATAGACGACTTGCCGGCCATCGTCGGCTTGACATGCTGCGGGCCACGGTCCTTGGCCGCCGAGACCTTGGGCGGCTTGAGCTTCTGCTTGTCCGCGAGATGCACGTACCGCTTCGCCATCTCCTCAGCAATCTCGGCGGCGCGCTCCGGCTCGGACCGCACCGCGTGCGACCGCGACGGAAGCGACGCAAACCGAAACGAGACCCTCAGCGAGCGATCCACAAAGTGCGGCGCGTCATCGTTGTCCACAATCTGCTGGTAATGGATCGCGGCCTTGGTCGGATGCCGCGCCGTCGCCGCCTCGCGCCCGAGCACCGGCAGCGACGCCAGCGTCTCCTTGGAAAGCTGCCACGCCGAGGCCACAAGCTCAAAGCACGGCGACGAGCCGAGCTCGCCCAACACAAGTGCCCGCAGCTCGGCCGCGTTGAGATCACGCGGCAGATGCCGCTTGCGCAAATTGCGCACGTCCTCCACAATGTTGTCAAACAGCAAGCCCTGGGCGCATCAAGCGGAAACGGGGGGGGGGGGGGGGGGTAGAAGGAAAGAGGGTGAGTGTCGGCATTGCCTTGATCAACAGACATATATACGCGCATATATATATATATATATATGTATGTACATGGAAGCGAGCAGCAAGCAGGGGAGGGGCGGGGGAGGGGAGGTGGACACGTACTCGGCAGCCGTGCTTGACAAAGACCGAGAGCAGCATGGACCGGACGCCCGTGGTCCGGGTATGCGGCTCGGTGGCCTGCGGCGGGAGCGCAGGCACAGCCGGTGTCACCGGGAGTGTGGCACCTGCTCCCGGCTTGATGTCTGCCTCTGTAGACGTCTCCATACCCACCACAGCGGGCCCAGTCCCAGGCGCTGCCGGTGGCGTAGCAGCCACGGGCGCAGCAGTGGCTGGAACGACCTCTACCTCCATGGGTGCTGCCATGGCGAGAACCGTGTCTATTGCTATGTGGGGAGGGAGAGAGGGAAAGGTAGGGGTGAGGGCGCCGTGGGGAAGTAGGTAGTACGGAGGCGCCGACGAGTGTGTGGCGTTGTGGCCAGGCTGGCTGGAGGTGGTCCCAGCTCGGCGACAGCGCTAGCTGGCTCGCTACCTCGCTCGCTGGGCAGGCGGCTGGCGGCTGACGGCTGGCCGTGGTCGAATGAGAGAATCATGATTCTGTCGAATCGGCCATTGTTCACGATCCACCGGCCAAGCGCGGCACGTCGAAGCCGTAGTAACTCCTCTCCGGACTTCCTCCCTCCCCCCTCCTTCCTCTCGCCCCATTTGCTTCGTCAGTCTCCCCTGCAAGCCACCCGCCACCTCAGCATCTGCTGGGAACTCGGCCGGCTTCTATGGAGGCTCCGTCAGCAATGGCGCTCGAGTCGCCGCGCTTGGGCTATCCCACTGCGCCCTCCATCCCAATTACCATTCCCACTCTCAACCTGACCGGCTCGTCCTTCCCGCGCCCCTCGCGCCCAGACCCTGTCCAGGACCACCGGCGTCCGGCAGCGTTCTCCCCGCCGTCCTCGGCCGGCTCTTTCCCTACGCTCCCTCTCAAGAGCACCGTGGTACGCTCCCTGTTCCTTCCCCCCTCCCAGCTGGCTCCTCCTGTCCTCAGCCTAGTCGCCTGGCTATTATTGGACGTCGCGATGACGCGGTCACGCGCAAGCCAGCCTCCCCCCCCCCCCTTCCCCCCCAACTCCTGAAGGCCCTAGTCTGCTTCGGCTGTCCTGCCTGGGCCCAAGGCTAGCGCAAGGGGATACCACCTGTGCTAGGCAAAGGAATAACCTGTAGGCACTTGTCCCCTTCCTGCTGCACGCCTTGTACTCCTGCTCCACCGCCGCCCCCCTGCAATGTCGCCATCGAAGGCAATGTCTCATTGGCGCCGTTTGGCCGTTTCTACCTCGGTTGGCCCTGAGCCTCGCTTCGCCTGAGCACCAGCGAGGCATGGAATCCAGCCGCGAGCGGGTTACGCTTGCTCCAAGTGCTCGTCATTGTGCACCATGGTGGCCGGTGGTAGTATCTACTGCCTCTCGTCCTCGCGGAGCTTCTACAGGAGCTCTACCGCCTGGTGTCAAGGCTGCAAGCGCCGGCTCGGTGGCGGCGTGTCGCTCTTTGTGTTTTTTTTTTGCTTCTGGCGAACGTTTTTCGCCACCAGCAGCGACCTTCCTCCCCCCTAAGGTAGCCGACCGGGGCGTGGGTGCAAGGAGAGTGCGAGAGCGAGAGCACACGCCACACGCCACTCACCCTCTCCGAAACTTTGCGGACACGTGTGAACGTAGGCGTCGTCGTCTTCCGAGTCTGTTTCGCCTGTGAGCAACCTGCGGTCAATGCTGCAAGGTAGTCTGGGCATGGCGTCGGGAGGCTCCGCCCGTCTCATGGGCTGCCCGCCGCCGCCCACGCCTGCGTCGACGCCGCGGTCGCTCCGCGGTGGCGTTGGCACCTCGCCGTCGGAGATGTACGCGGCGTACGCGGCCGGCAACGCCCGCAGCGAGGCCGAAGGCGACGGCGACGGGTCGGGCGACTACTCGTCGGACACCGAGTCGTTCGGCGCGTCTGGCCCGCTTGAGTGCGTCGGCGTCCTTGAGATGGACCAGGAGGAGGCTTCGCCGATGGTGTCGGCGACAGTCATCCGGTCCGGGCGCCGCCCGGGCATGCCCACGGCGTCGCTTGTCGACGTCTTTCCACCGACCGAGCCGCTCTTCCGCGGCTACGTCGGCAAGCGCGGGACTTGTGGCGAGCCCGAAATCCAGGTCCTTGGCGACGGCTTTGCTGCCCGCGCCCGGACCCGCAAGCGCCGGTCAGACTCGGACGGCAACGATGACGACTACGGCCCGCAGACCTCGCCGAACGCCCCGTACTCGGTCCCGCCCTCCATTTCATCCTCGCCCTCGGGCCTCTTCATTGCTGGCCAGGGCCAGTCCTCGCGTCGCTCATCGCACTCGACTTCGCCCTCGCCCATGCCGGGCGCCTACGGCTCGCCCGTCGTCGCCATGCACGCGTTTGCCGCCATCCCGGCTCGCGCCTCCAAGAAGAAGCGCGGTCTCAACTGACGCCACGCTATGCTCAGCCATGCTTAGCCGGGCTCTCTCCCACCTGGGCCAATAATGTAAAGATGGACCCAGATACTGAAACTCTATAGATGCGCTTTGAACACTACATGAGCACGTATGATGAAGACAGTTGTGTTTGCTGTGTTTGTTTGACCATCAGGAGCCCGATCGCAAGCCAACTGCGACCGGGTCTGTGTGCAATGCACAGCACGTGTGCACTTGCACGCCTGCGAATTGAGCCGGCACGGGGCTAACGCCGATGCTGGCCAGAGGCAGCAAGAGCGAATCGAGACTGGTCAAGCCTCGACATGGCTCCTTCTCATTGGCCACGGTGCCACTGCACGCAAGGTGGAGGTGTGAAAGACGGTGGGTGAGTGACCGCGCTGGCAATCGCCTGCGACAGCGGTATGAGAGGAGAGAGGGGAGGGGAGGATGGCAGACTGTACGAGCTAATGGAGACGCAGGGCAGGTGGTGTTGCACAAGCGCACTATGATGCTCTATTCTATTGCTATGGGAGAGCCGTCGTAGCAAGACGGCAGCAGCAAGATGAGGACAATGTCAGCCAGCATTCTCATCATCATCACCATCGTCATCATTCCAAGGAACAACAACAACAACGACAACAACAAAAAATATAAAGCACACACACCGTCCTCTGCATGCAGGGGCGCAATGTCCAAGCCCCCCCCTGGACGACAGGAGAGAAAGACTCTCTCCCATCGGGGGGGTCCGGCACCCTTGCGAGGCGACCAGACCGGGAGTAAAGAAAGGGCCACCAAAACAACAGCCTCCACATCCCCGCTCCGTCTCCCCACATCACCTCCTCACACACGCACGCCTCCACAGCCCTCAAAGAAGGAACAGTAGCGGTCATAGTGTGGATAAAGTGGAGGGGTTGGGGGAGGGGAGGAGGGGAGGAGGGGCTGGTAGGTGATGCCGGGCTCTGGATGCTACCCACTCTCCGTGGGAGGGGAGGGGGAAGAAGGGATGAGGGATGACACGGGCGAGGGGGGAGGGGGGGGGAGCTGGGTACATACAGAGCAGGTGTGTGGGTGTGTGCGTGTGTGTGTGTGTGTGTGTGTGTGCGTGTGCGTGAGAGAGAGTGAGTGGGTGAGCTAGGTTGGTAGGTTGTTCATCGCAAGGAGAGAGTGAGGTGTTTGCCCAAGCACAAGGCAGGCCAAGGCCAAGGCCAAGTCACAACAAAGCGGGCGCGATTAGAGTCGGGCACCGTGCCGGAGGAGCAAGGTCTCGACCTGATCGATGCCAACAGGGACGAGCGGGAGAGGAAGCCCGAGTAGAACGACTCGCCCTGCATGCGGATGGCGTCGATGAACATAGCGACAAGGTGTGGCGAGGCCGAGAGGGCGCCAGCCGAGTCGAGGACAAGCAGGGCTCGGACCATGTTGGAGGTCGAGAGCTGGGCAAGGAGCTCGGCGCCCGGGCGCTCGCTGGAGACGAGGGCGTCGGTCATGGCCTCCACGAGCGGGTTGACGGCAGCTGATGCCGGATGCGCAGTGTGGAGCGCCCAGGCCAGGCCCATGGCGACCGGGAACGAGACCGCCGACGCCGAGCCGCTTGCCACACGCTGCTCGACGGCGCGGCGGGTGGCCGGGAAGGCGACGCCAGCACGTGCAAGGGAGACGCAGGCAGCGGCCACCCAGCCGGGCGCGAGTTCATCGAGCCGCGCGGCAATGGTCTCGTCGAGTGCGGCGTAGATCGGATGCCGGGCGTCAAAGGCGCCCGACTCGACCTGCGTCGCCGCCGAGAGAACCTGCTTGAGCGGATGCGGCCCGAGGCGCGGGAGCTGCGGAACGAGGGCGCCCATGACGGTCTCGAAAAACGCGAGCGAGAACGTCGATGCTCGCGAGCATGCCACCGCAATGTTGGCCCAGTCGGGTCCGCTCAACTCGTCAGCCCGGGCGGCGATTTCGTTCTGGATGGCCGAGAAGAGGAGGAACTGGTTGACCGACGTATGGTTGGCCTTGGCGTAGGCAAAGGCGTTGGTGCAGAGCGAGCGGGCGTCAAACTCGCTCAGTCGCGCCCGCATCACTACCGCAAGCTCGTCGAGTGCCTCGGCCACAAATCGGTGGACTTCGGGCGTCTCGCGCGCAAGCGCTGACCGCGCCCGCCGCAGCGTCGAGATCAAGATCGAGAGCTCTTGCGCTGAGCAAGCATCCGCCCGGCCGCGCACCAGGTCGTCGACCAGCGTCATGTACGCCTCGGCGTCGCCGCCGGTCGTCGCCAGCGCCCACGCCGTCATCACCGCCTCGGACGGCGACGCTCCCTCGCTCCCGCGCGCCACAAGCTCGCCGCCCAGTAGTGAGACCGTCCGCGACGTATCCATTCCAGCCTTGGCAAACGCCCACGCCGTGTTCGCCAGGCCCTGCAGCGTAAAATACGGCAGCAGCTCCGGCACCGCTCCACCAATCGCCGCAAACACTGCCCGCAGCGCCGGGCCGGCCTCGCGCGACCGCGCAATGCTCGGCTTTGCAGCCACTCCGCGCGCCAGCGCCCACGCCAGGTTCGCAGCCTCCTGTGCCGAGCTCACCTCGCCGCCCAGCGCAGTGAAGCGCGCGCAAGCCGAGGCAATAAGCCCCGCAGGCAGCGCCCCGTCCGGCTCAAAGTGGCCCGCCGCGCACAGCGCACGCGTCACCTGCCGCATCGCCAGCGAACGCATTCGCGACTGCAGGACAGACAGTGCCTGCGCCTTGAACGCCGGCACCGAGCCCGGCGCAGACTGGCCAAGGCACCACACCAGGAACACCAGGTCCTCGGCAGACGACGAGAGCAGCGACCGCGCCAGCTCCGGATCCGCCATCCGCTCCAGCAGCCTCTCGTCGACGTGGCCAACCTTGCACAGGCCCCACATGGTCATGATGAGGTCGCGCGGAGTAAAGGCGTCCGCTCGGCTCGCCGCGTACGCCGCCAGCGCGTTGAGCGCCTCCTGCCGCGGACTCGCCCGCGCGTTGACCATCGACCACAGCAGGACAGGAACCGATCGCGGTGGGTAGGCATCAAGGACTTGCGGGAGTGAGCTTAGAACGCCGTCAAGCACCGTCCGCGCCCGCGCCTCGGCCTCGGCACGGAACGCCGCCGGCGCGTCGACCGCCGCCTTGGTCATGCACCATGCCAGCAACGTCGAGTCCTTCGGCTCCAGCTCTGCAGCAGCGGCACCATGGCCAGCAGCGGTGGCCAAGCTCGTCAAATAGCCCGAGTCCGTCGACGCATCCGTGCCGAGCTTGACAAAGACCCAGCCCATCTTGATCCGCTCCGGGAGGGTGAAGGCGTCTGCCGCGTCGGCAGCCACCGCCGGTAGCACCGAGTACAGCCGATGCCGGAACGATGCCAGCGGGAGCAAGTCATGAACAACAGCCTTGAGCTGCTCGGGCGCAAGGCTCCTCGCCGCCGCAGCATCTGCCACCGTGTTCAGCACCTGCCGAATCTCCCCATTAGCCAGAGCCTCGGCCCGTGCCGCCCGAGCGCTCGCCTCCCGCCGGGTGAGGGCATGGAGACTCTCCACCGCAGCCGCCGTCACCGCCGCATCCGGCCGCGTCCCTACCCCACGCACCCCGTACAGGCGTCTAGCTATCATGCCCACCAGCGGTTGCCCCGCAGCCAGCCGCACTCGACCCAGCATCGGTGTGGGCTGGGTGTCAGAGGAGGGAGAGAGAGAGATGGCTGGTGATGGGCCCACCTCCAGTGTACGGAACGACGATAGTCATAGTCATTCGTAGTCAAAAGATTTAGTCATTAGTTAGTCAGTCAAACGTCAATGACTAAGATGGTGATCAAGACGGAGGCACCCCTCTCACACGCAGCATGCCCCGTTCTTCGGCCTTGTGGCAGCTTGTCACGCACCAGAACAGAGAGGCTCCTTGCTGCAGGCTCTGCGGCAAGCAGATTAGCCTCAACAGTTTCAAGTCGACCTCAAATATCAAAAGCCACTTCCGAAACGCCCACAGCGAGGTGCTGTCGGCGCTGGACGTTGATGTCCCCACGTCCAGCCAGCGGCTGCAGGCGTACTTCCCCTCGGAAGACCGCTTGAAGGCTGCAAAGCCGCGCGTTGCGGAATACGCGCTCAAGAGCGTGCTGTACAAGCACCGCTCGTTTGCGTCGATCGAAGACCCGTACCTCGCCCACATGTTCGCTGTCGCAGTGGGTTTGAGTGCGACGAGCGTGCGCAAGATTCTACCGTGCGAGAAGCACCTGCGTGAGGGTGTACTCGATCGCGTTTTCCTCCAGTACCGCACCAAGATGCAGGAGCACATTGGGGACGGGCCTATCTCCCTCATCGTCGATGAGTGGACGTCGTCTGGGACGCGCCATACCTTTCTCGGTGTGTGTGCCCAGTTCTACAGTTCGGGAGTGCGCATGACAATCCCCATCGGGTTCAAGGCGCTCACCGCCGATCTCATGAACGCTGTTCGCTCAACGTCTGACGACAGCGCCGAGTACGACACCACATATCTCTCCGCCAACGCCGAGAATCTCGCCAAGGTGGTGAAGCTCTGTGTGACAGAGTTCGGGATTGACTGGGTCCAGGTAGTCGCCTTGTCTAGCGACACAACGGCGCTCATGCCCCGGATGACAAAGCGCTTCCTCGAACTCCCGTGGCATCCATGTCTCTCCCACCGCATTCAGCGCATCGTCGGTGACGTGCTCAAGGCGGTACAGGCTGACAGTGAGCTGGATCCTGCCTTGGTGCAGACAGACTTGGTCTCGAGCCGTGACACGGCCGTACTCGAGATGGGCGGCGTAGGCGAGGACACGGACGACGAGGACGTCGAAAAGGAGGATGGGTTCTCGGAGGTGGCATCGTTGTCGTCGTCAGAGTGGCCGACGCTGAGTGATACCGTTGCATCCGATGACCTTGCCTCTGCCCCGCTCGTGGGAAGCACTGACGCAATTTCTAAGCTGCGCCGCCTTGTCTCTTTCATCTCTCGCTCGTCCAAGGCCAAGCGCACGATGCGCCACTTCATCAACAAGAAGAACATCGAGGCTACGCACGCATACAAGTCCGCGCTGAACTCATATGAGATGGATGTCCAGCTTGGTCAAGTGACCGTGGATGACAAACCGTCTCCACCCGTCCTGGTAACATACACGTCGTTGCGGCCGGACGTGAGTACTCGCTGGGGCTCGACGGTGACTATGCTGGAACGGGCGTCGAGGATGAAGGATGCCGTGGATTTTGTTTCGACTGAGATCGCGGGTGCCCCGGCTAAGTTGACCGCGAGCGAGTGGGACGAGGTACATGACGCTGTGGAGGTACTCCTCACGATCAACAACTCGTGCATCATGTCTCAGACGTCCGATATGTCGTCCTCCCTTTCGCTCCTTACGATGGTGGCGATTGTGGACGATCTGGCAGAGCTCAAGATCAACAACGAGGATATCCCTAGGATCCAACAGCTGTGCGACATCGCCACCCAGGCAGCGTACAAACAGGTTGCGTACATGTACAAAGAGGATGCGTGCCTCTTTGCTCTCCTTATTGACACGACTGTCACCAAGGACGACCTTGTGTATGTCCAGGGAGTTGTCGCCGACGCCAACAACTCGCTTGGTGTGCGCCATCTGGCGACCGCTGCTGAGGTCCACCATGACATGTGGCGTCGCTTGGCAGACGTCCTTGAGCCCAAGCTCCTGGACGTTCTGTCCACGCTCCCGTCGCATACTGCGGCGTCATCGAGCGGAGCGAGCAACACGCTTCCGCAAGAATCGCGGGACCCCACGTACTTTTCCCCGAGTATGTCTGCTGCCGGTGGGCCATCCAAGGTGGTAATGGCTGAGCCGGCTTCATCGCCACAGGCGCGCTCGCGGATGGACGCGGAGCGCGAGGCGCGCGCTCGTAACATTGCCAAGCGCGAGAAGAACGCGGGGAAGCGCCTGCGCGCGAAGAGCGTTGATGAGGTTCGCGGCTGCAAGGTGCGAAAGATGACGGTGAACGATACGCCTGCGTCTGTGGCTTCGTTCAGCAACTACAAGCTCGTCGAAGTGTTCTGCAAGGTTCTCACGGCTACGTTGTACAACAGTCGGCTAATCTCTACCTCTTCAAGTTTGTCCGTAGGCGACATGTTGGCTAAGTTTGAGGACGTGTGCGTCGGTCTCGAGTCTCGCAAGAACTGGAACCGCAAGGCTGACGTACGGCGGATCCAGGTGCTGTGTGCGAGGTTCCGCTTGTGGGGCCAGGGGATCCTTCTTCCATCGGCCTCCGCTGCCAGCGTCGAACGGCTCAACTCGGTGGCGACAGACATGATGACGAGGAAGCGGAACCGCCTCTCGGCTCTGCGCGCCGAGAAGATGATGCTCCTGCGTGCATGGATGCTTTTCGACTTTGAGCTGACGAAGAAACTGTAGTGACGATACGCATCAGCTGTTAGTCATCGGTGTGGGCTGGGTGTCAGAGGAGGGAGAGAGAGAGATGGCTGGTGATGGGCCCACCTCGCGAGCTGGCGAGGCCTGGATGGTAGCCTAGCTGATGCCGATGGCGAGGAGGCAAGAGCTCATCCTTCTGCACTGGTGAGAGATCGCTCTCCCCTCATCAAAGGCTTGCGCTACTTGGTGGCTGTGGCTCAGTCTGCAGGTGTGTCCCATGTTCGGCCGAGTGCTTGATGGCGGTGGGTGGGGGCGGTGGCCACCTCGGACTGGGTCGGCTGCTGTGGGTGGCTGGGTGGCTCGGTGGCGGCAGAGCAAGGTGCGAGGTGCGAGTCGGAGAGGGGGACTACACTCAGCTCGTGGAGGCAAGCCCATGTCTGGGCCACACATGCAAGGAGGCCACAACCCACTGCAGGGCTATGAGGACCTCCTGGGCCTGGCAGAGGATCCCTCACTCGACGCACAGCTGCGGAACCTGGACCTCTCGGCCGAGTACGCGACGAGGAGGAGGAGGGGGAGGGGGGGGGGGGGGGGGGGAGAGGGAGGGAGGAGGAAGGGAGGAAGGGAGGGAGGGGAGGGAGGGGGAGGGAGGGAGGGGGGGATGGACCTAGCGGTGCGGGATGCTGTGTAGCTGCTGCCGGCCTGGTGCTGGGCTGGTTCTGGTGGTGGTCGACCCTGGCCTGGTCTGGGTGGTCGTGGCCAGGAACATCATGGCCGACCAGTCGACGAGGGGAAGAAGAACTCACTCAGATGGGTGCGGTGTGCGGTGCGGTGTGCGGTGTGAGGGGGTGGCAGGGCAACGGAGCCGTTCCCGATGATTCCGCTTGGCCTGGATGAGGCGCTGCTGGCAGAGTACGGCGAGTCGGCGGTGCAGCTTGTGCTAGTGGATGAGCCGCCGGAGACGGTGTACAAGAACACGACGTATCATCTGCAGGCGGCGCTGGTATCATCGGATGACAAGCTTGTTCCGTTCCCATTCTTTCTCCCGGACGATTCCGGCAGGATGATAGAGTACGACTCACTCACCGTCCGTGCACAACTGCTGTACCACGACAACTCGCCAGTCCCGTCCAAGCGAACGGTCTCGGTCGACGATGCCACCGGCGCGCCGACAACCAAGGAGCTACCACCACTGCGTGCAAGCGAAGGCATCATGCGTGACGGGGTGGCCAACGTAGCGCTCGGTGTCAACGCGCTCTCCGGCCGCGGCAAGTCGCTCATCCTTTACAAGCTCAAGATTTACGTCGAGGAGGCGCCACAGCTCTGCCTCCACACCGATACCTTTATTGTCCGCTCCAAGCCGCCAACCAAGTCAAAAACAAGATCAGGCAAGACGCCCAAGACCTCGCCCAAGGCTGTGCTGTCTGCCAAGCGCACAAAACCAGCGCGTCGCCGCCGGGGCAGCCGATGGCCTGGGCCATGGCCTCCTCGCCGCACACCTCGCATGGCCCGGTCGACATGGACCAGGAGCGCGTTGCCGTGCCAGTCCGCGCCTCCCACACCGCGCCAGCGAGCACGACGACCTCACCGGCGCATCGCTCGTCGACAACCTCGCTCGCTGCCATGGTCATGGGCGATCCCGAAGGTTCGCGGGGTGGGCTCGGCATGGGCGGGCACGCCGCCTCCGGCTCGGATCCAGTGCTCTCCACCCTGCAGGGCTTTATGGACATGCACCCGCCGTCGTCGGCCGAGCCTGCTGAGCTGCTGAGGCTCATCCAGTCGTCGGTCGTCGCCCCGCTCCTCTCGGAGATCTTTGCCCTCCGCGCCTCGCTCTCCGAGCAGCGCGCGCTCACCACCGCGCTCAACACCAAGCTGCAGTACCTCGAGCATCGACTCTCTCACACACAGCGTTGACAAATCGCCGTGGGGGCATATGCTGGACGCTGAAGTGGTTTTACGAGAAGCACGGCCGGAGGCTACGGTTGCGGTGGATCGAGAGCCCGGCGGCTACCACTGTGACCAGGAGCCCGACCGCGATCTCGGACATGAACGAGGCGACGTAGAGAACATGCTTCATCGTCGTCGCCGACTGTTTCTCGGCAAGCGGCGGCAGACGCGCCGCGGTCGCCATGCCTACATTCCCTGCGCGGCCCTCGTGGTACTCTGCCTGTGACGAGTAGCTCGAGCCCGAACTCGACGAGCCTGAGCCCAAGCTCGTCTCGGATCCGGAACAGGACCGCGAAACTGAGCTGGTGGTCGAGTCAGAGTCGGGCGCAGCGCCAGCTGGCGCAGCCTCGGCATCGGACGGCGCGTCTGGGTGCGGCGGCGCGCAAAAGTTGAGGTACGACTGAAGGATAAGAAAGACGCCGGCGGCGACAAAGGTCAGTATGCCGAGGACGAGCCAGACGGCAGGCACATCGTCGGCGTCGGCCATGTACGCCATGGAAAGACCGGAATGCCAAGGAAGAACAACATGGCGGCGACGGAATGGATGAGCGTGGAGACGCCGATGGGGATGGTGAGGCAGCCAGGGCCAAAGCCCACGTAGTACGTAGTCACCGTTCCCGCGCCGTCGGTGTAGAAGATGCCCACCAGCGGGAGGCACCAGATAATCAGCAGCTGGGCCCACCACGAAAAGTCCGACAAGTCCGACCCGTTCCACCGCTCAAGCATCAGCAGCAGGCTCAGGCCCGACGAGACAGCAAAAGTGAGCGCAAAGAGCAGTCGGTTGCCAAAGCTCCGAGGATCAGCCGCATAGCTGGAGATGGTAGTGAACGTCGTCCGAATCCGTCCGTAATTGTACACAATGTGCACGCCAAAGACGGCCACAATCGCCACCAACGCAGCGCCCTCTAGGCCCAGTGCCACCACTGCGTACTCGTGCTGGCAAGTACTCATCTTGCGTGGATGTGGGAGCAGTGGAGTGGCGGGAGGGAAGGGGGGGGGGGGGGGGGGGGGGGGGGGAGGCAGTTGGCTGCCTTGGGCACGTGGGAAGTTTTTTTTCAACACTGAATGGGCTGTGCGCATGGCATGTGTGCAAGTCAGCAGGTGCAGCAGCGGAACCCGGCCCCCGCGCGTTGTACATTGCGTTGCCAGAAATGGGTGGCGGGTGCAGTGGAAGTTCTGGCTGCGGCTCCGTGCTCGGCTACAGGTCGATCATCTCGGTGGCAATGATGTCGCTCGAGTCAAACGAGCCATCCTTGAGGATGCCCTTGGACTGGGAAGCCTCGAGAAAGGCTGACTCGAGGAGGTTAGCAAGGGCCGGGTCCAGGTCGGCGGCTTCGCGCTGGAAGAGGCGCTCAAAGCGGCGCGAGCGGTCGCGGGTGGCCGAGTACAGCCGAGCCGGGTTGCGCTCGGCGCGGATGTCGCGGATTTCGATGACGACGGCGTGGACCGAGATGACGACAAGAGCAATGATGCAGACGATGACGGCAGCGAGGAAGAACATGTCAAAGGCGTCCGAGTCGCGCTCGGCGTACGAGCCCGCGCCTAGTAGGACAAATCCGATGAGAACAAACGAGAGGAGGCTCTCGGTCCGGTTGTACAGCGGGTAGTAGTACGGCTGGTAGTGGTTGACGATGACGAGCCCGACAAGGAGGATGGCCATGAGCAGGCCGATCTGGATGAGCTGGTGATTGGTGAAAAAGACGGCAGCAATGACAAGGCCGAGCCGCTTGGTCAGATTCGCCACCTCGCCCCAGTAGTACGGCGTGCGGTAGAGCCGGTAGAGTGAGCCGCAGCGCGCAAAGACGGCCGGCTCAAAGAGCGAGTCGCGGACAGAGATGAGATTGAAAAGAAAGTAGCTCGGGAAGCCGACGACGTAGACCGCGACGCCAAAGAGGCCAAAACAAAGGTGCTCCACCATGCGCCGTCGTAGCACTTGATCCCGAGGTCCGAATCGAGCGCAAACGAGCCGTTGGGCAGCCGGGTGCAGTCAAAGTACGAGAGCGTGGCCTTGGCCAGCGGAATGTACAGCAGCGGTGCAAACATGAAGAGCAGGCCATCGACAAAGGCCTTGAGCGTGAGGTCCGGAAGCTGGACCCGGATCGACTCGAACGACGACCTTGCCAACTTGAGCACCACAAACGCCACCACCACAATGGCAAGACCTAGGAGCGGGAGGCACATAGCGAGTGAGTAGTTGGCGTAAAATCCGCCGACAGAGCACTCGGTCCTGAACAACCGCAGGTCGACGTTGAATGCCTTGAAGCCCGAGAGCACGCTCGACGCCGCAGACGTCCACGCCAGGCTGGCGTCGGCTACAATGCCCACCACCTGGAACGCCACCACCACCATCGACAGCGTCGATGGCGCCAGCCGCATCCGCAGCTCACTCTTGCCGCGGCTCGCTGCGTTGCGGTTCGCTCGCATCACCGACATGACAAGCACCACAATGGCCAGCCCGGTCACGCCCACAAGCGCCACAATAAAGAGCGCCAGAAACTTGCCTGGCGCATCAGGACACTTGGCGCACTGGCCCTGCTCGTCCGAGTAATACTTGTCGGCGCAGGTGTTGCACAGGTAGCCGGCGTAGCCGGTGTGGCACCGGTTCCCGCCGGCGCACGCGGCCGGCCGGATGCACGACACAAACCCGGCCTCGGTCTCATAAAACCCTTTGGCCGAGACCGGCCGCGCCGCGCCGCCGGCACACACAGCGCCGGTCGGACACGGCTCACACGGCCGCTTCGCTGTCCGCATCCCAGCACCCTCCCAGTACCCGGGCACACACGAGCAGTTTGCAAACGAGCTCGAGCCGGCCGGGCCCGCTGAGAACTGCGGGCAGATGGCGCACGCTTCCGAATTGGACTCCTCAGAGTACGTCGACGCCTCGCAAGTTGTACATGTAAACTGCTCGAAAACCCGCATGCCCGGCGAGCACCGCTCGCGCGCCGCCACCGGAAACGGCGACGCCGGCACATCGACATCATTGAACGAAATAGCGATGGTGTAGAGCCCGCCGTTGGGAAACTGGATCGGAACCACACCCACAAACTGGTCATTCGATGGGTTGTCTGCCGCGCCAGGCGCAAGGACCCGCGCCGCCAGATTCTGGCTTGTCGCCGTCACATTCGACGACTTGAGCCGGATTTCCGCGTTAAGGTTGCTGGAATCGGTCTGATCAATCGCGTTGCCAAACTCGTCGGCAAGCGCAAAGAAAAAGTCGAGCGCCTTGCCGGCCTCCACTTCGTACGACTGGGCGCCAGGGCCCAGAATTGGGTCGACCAGCTCGCATCTGGCGCCCGACGGCGGACCGGCCACAATGTCAACAATTTTTCTCGCAAACCCGCGAGAAGCTGGCGCCTCAAAGAGCTGCCCGAGGATGCCAAAGCCAAGCATGTAGCGGCCGGCCGTCGTCGGTAGTTTGACCTTGAAAAGTTCATCGTCGCCGCCGAGTTTGAACACCTCGAGTGCCACTCGCCCGGAAGTAGGTGCGAGGATCTCCACGAGCACCTCATGAGCCCCGAGCGAGACAGTAGCCGAGGACGCCGTCCTGCCACGCATATTAAATTGAACGTATTGACCAGCCTTGAATTCCGAGGCCGTCGCAGGCCCGCCTCTGTTCCAGCTCTCAGCAAATGACGCGGTGATGTTGACCTCGGAGCATGACGGGACAGGACTCCAATAGTGTTCATAGTAGTTGTCAATGTCGGGACCGTACACGCAGGAGCTCATTGGCTTGCCAAACATGTTGAAACCTTCGTCGCAGGTGTACGCACACAATGCACCGCGGGGAACCTGAGCCACGGTCTCCGTGCAGTTGCTGCTGCCTGAATCGATGAATGCGACATCCGCAGGCAGGCCATCGCACTCGTCCAGGATGCACTGGGGGGATGGATTCCACTCGAAACCACTCATCACGTCGTATGTGCAGATAAAGTCGTCCGAAGGATTGCCAGAGATGATGAATCCCGGATGGCAGGTGACGATGGCTTTGCTTCCGACGCCCATGCCACTCGGATACGTGACATCGCCGTTAAGGAACGACAGGAAGGGGCAGCCTTCTGGCGGAGGTGGAGGGGGAAACATCGGCGACGGTGACGGCGACGGTGACGGCGACGGTGACGGTGACGGTGACGGCGACGGTGACGGCGACGGTGACGGTGACGGTGACGGCGACGGCGACGGCGACGGTGACGGTGACGGCGACGGTGATGGGAGAGGCGGAGGCATCATCGGCGGCGGTGGTGACGCCGAAACAGCCTGGCCCAAAGCGACGGTGATGGGAGAGGCGGAGGCATCATCGGCGGCGGTGGTGACGCCGAAACAGCCTGGCCCAAAACAGACATGGGCGTCATTCCAAGAAGGAGCGCGAGTGCGACAAGGGTGGCCACCAGTGTGCAATGCCCAAAGCGGGTGAAGGGGGAGTTTTGGGAGGGAGTCATGGTGTGGGGGGGTGGGGAGGGAGAGGGGGGAGGGGGGAGGGGAGAAAGTGGAGTATGGCTTGGTTTTGCTTGGGTGTGTGGGAGGGGGGAGGGGAGGGGGGGGGTCGTTGCCTAAGGGTTGGAGTCGAAAAGGACGGAAGCTAACTTTTTTCGTTGTGAACAGTTTTTTTTGGAGAGGAAGGAGGAAGGCTAATGGTGTCGAGCTCGTAGCGTGTTGGGTAGGAGAGAGGGGAGGGAGGAGGGTGAGAGGGGGGGGGTCACAGACACGTATGAGAGTCAACACCTGCTACACCTGCGTGCGAGGGTTGTGGCAGCCGTATTTGGCAGAACGTAGCGTGTGTTATCTCAGGGAGACTGTGAGGCTCAGTTGATCCACGAAATACGGCCGATCGCACGACAACGTTTGTTTTGACAAACACAGCCACGACTACGACGCGATCCGGCCTCCCTCCTCCCTCCCACCGCCCCTCATCACAGCCATGCCCAACAGATCCCAAAGGCCCGCATTGCACACGACTGTATCCTTCAACTTCAGGCCCTCCCGATTTCGCACACAACACCCATCAGCCCACGTCTACCCCCCACCGTCACCCTCCCCCTCCTCCCCCAACCGGCGCCCGACTGCAGGACGCAGCTCTCCTCCACCCCCCAACACCCAGATCAAGACCCTCCTCCAACCTGCTGCTGCCGTGCTGCGAGTCGCAATAGTCACAAGCCGCCGCACAACGCAAAAGCGACAAGAACGTCTATACCATTCCAGCTGGAAAAAAACGCGTGCCGTTTGTACCAAGCCAAACCCCCCACACTCAGCTCCCCCCTGCCACTGGCGAGCATGTGGAAGATCATTGCCATGGTAGCAGCCGTTGCCTTTCTCGCCAGCACGGCATCTGCCGAGAAGAACACGCTCGGCCCACGGTGGCTTGTCTTTTCCGGCGACCGCCAGTTCTGTGGCCCCATTCCCCAGGTGGCCACCATGTCCATGGTCCAGCCGAAGCACATGACGTACGCCTGCCCCCCACCCCCCCCCTCCCCACCTTCCCCCCCTGGCACACTCACCCCCCCCCCCCTTCCTCCTGACACAGCCCTCCGTGCAAGCCCGGCAAGTATCACTCTGCACTGGCCAAGGTCTTCATCATGCCGCTGCTTGTGGTCATCGGTGTCGTTCTTTGTGGCTGTGGTTTCTGCGTCAAGGCCTGCTGCCTCTCGTCGCCATCATCGGCGTCTGCGTCTGCAAATGGATCGCGTGGTGGCGTGCCTGGTGTCGGCTTTGCCTCGACCAACTCGTCGCTGAGCAAGGCTGCTGGTGATGGACGTGGCGACTACGGTGCGCTGCCGGCATCGGCGTCGAATGGGGTCTCGGTCAACGCGCTCTACGCCCGCCGCAACGGGTCGCCACCGGTCATTGCCATTGTGGCGGCGGTGGGCGTGGTGGTGGCTATGGCGGTGGCGGTGGCCGGTGGCGACGAGGTGCGGACGCTGACGTATGGCGCGCGACAGCTGTTCCTAGACAACCTCGACTACACTTCGACGACACTGCACGAGGCCATGGCAGGCCTGCGGAGCATGGGCGCGCTCAAGCCTGGGCGCCGCAGTCTGCGGCGGCAGTCGCGGCGCTCTCGTCGTACTCATCGGGCACGCACAAGATCGCCGACTCGCTGGCTTCACTCGACTCGCTCCGCGCCGCTTTTCTCATCATCACCGCCGTGTTTGTCACGCTGGCTGTTGTGGGCGGGCTCGCGGTCCACGCCCTCAACTGGCGGCGGCTCTCGCTCGGGCTGGCCATTGTGGGCATTGTGGCGCTGGCGTGCGTGTGGGGCAACTTTATGGTGTACGTGACGGCGGCAAACGTGATCTCGGACATGTGCCGGACCATCAACGGTTGCCACTTTTGCTACGAGAGCGGCGGGAGCAACTGCGGGTCGACCGTGTGTGCGGTGCCGTTCTTCGAGACACTGTCCGCGTGCCCGGCGTCGGCGCAGAACCGGTTCCAGTCTCTGACCGCGGTGGCTGCCTCGGCCACCAAGGGCAAGGCCGACGACGTCTGCGCCGCGCTCGACAAGCTGTGTCCAGACGGAGCGTCGTGCGCGCGGACCTCGGGCGACTGCACAGCGTCTGCACTCGGCTCTGGCCTCTCGGCGCTGGTTTGCGACGGCCCGACGTGCTTCCCAGTCTCTACGGTGGCGGCCAACGCGACGGGAAATCCGGCGTTCTTTGCCCGCGTCGACGATGCCGAGGCCGTCATGACCGCCTTTGCTGCCTTTGGCACCGCCAACTCCTACCAGCTCGGCCTCACCTCGCTCGACTGCGGGAGCAACAACGCGTTCATCGAGCGCGCCCCGGGCGGGACCTACGACTCGCTGCAAAAGTTCCTCTGCCCGCGCATTGTTCACCCGGTCAACCCGCCGCAGCATACGTTCTCGGTCACCGCCGGCGGCCTCCTCGCCGCTGGCCTCATCTTTCCGCTCTACGTCGTGTGGCTTGTCCGTGCCCATCACGCCGCCACCAGGCGGCAGGCCGAGTAAAAGCCAAGCGCAAGCGCAAGCGCTAGCAAGCGGTGGCCTAAGACTGGTGCGATGGCGCCAGCTGAGTAGCAGCCATGAGGAGGGCGGTGGGACAGTTGGGGTACCGGCGGAGAGCGTTGACAACCTGATCCGGGGTCAGCATGAGCTGGTTCATGCGGTACTCCTTGGCGGTCTGGGTCCGAGAGACAGTGACCTCGTTGAGCTGCAGTGATGAGACGTCGCCAAGGAGGCCAAAGCCAAAGCCGCCGCGCTTGGAGACCTGGTACTTGCGGTGGAGCGTCGAGTAGTCGTCGGATGACATGCCACCCTGGCCAGACTCAAACTCGGACGACTGGGCGACGAGCTGGAGCGCCTCGAGGTGCTCAAAGGCCTTGAGCGCGACCTTGCGGGCGCAAAAATGGACCGAGGCAAACGAGCCCTGCGCGAGCTTGCGGTACTCGTCGTAGATCATCTCAAAGTTGGCGGCGTACATGCCACGCTCCCACATCTGCTTCATGGCAACGAGGAGCCAGAGCTCGAGGATCGAGAGCCCGCGGAGCATGTTCTCGCGTGCGTCGACAAAGAGCGCCTTGCTCGCGGCAGTGATTGCCGCCAGGGAGAGCCATGGCGCGTCGCGGCTCGTGTACGCCACCGCCACATTGAACCAGTCGATGAATGAGAGGACCTCGGTGCAGATGTCGTAGCGGAGCCGCAGCGTGTCGAGAAACGAGTCGGTGGCAAAGAGGGCGTCGGTGGCGGCGGCCCAGGCGGCGACGCGCTCAGTGCCGAGCGCAGCCACCAGCGGAGCCGCGAGCGGCGCGTTGGGGCACGGCGGCGTGATGCGCTCGCGAAGGACGGCAAGGAGCTGCGAGAACGAGTCGAGCGAGAAAAAGTCGAGCCGCCGGTGCATGAACCGAGAGCGGACCCGCTTCTCCAGCAGCTCGATGGCGTCGAGCCGCGCTGTGAGGCCGACAACAACAAGGCCGGTCGTGGCGTGCGAGACCATGTTGAGCAGGTTGTATAGCAGCGATTGCTGCGGATGGCCGGCAAAGAGGTCAAACTCGTCGAGGACAAAGACGAGGGCGCCGCGGTTGGCCCCGGTCAGCGTCTCGACCATGCCCACCACCGCGTCGAGAGCCTCGGCAAACGACGACGCCTTGGCAGCCTCCAAGTTCGCCACTTGGTTCGCCGTCAGCGTCCGAGTCCCAGCCTCGAGCTCCTCGCCGAGCGTCTTGCGGCGGCCGCGGGTTCCGCGGATCCGTGCCTCGGCCGGCACCTCCTTGGCCTTGGCCTTGGCGAGCACTACCCGCTCGAGCTCGGGATCGGCGGCAATGTCGTTCTCCACCGCCAGCATGTGGCGGGCCTCGGCCTCAGCGGCCAGCCCCTCCACACGCTCGATCTCGCGCAAGTTGTCGAGCGCCGCCACCACGCCGCCCTGCAGCTGCTCCACAATGGCGCGAAGCGCAAGCTGCGCGTTGCAGTGGACAAGGCCCGAGAGGCGGACAACCGTCAACTTGCCCGGATGTTCACCATCCAGCTCCGAGAGCACTCTGTCGAGCACCAGACTCTTCCCGCATCCCCGAAAGCCCATCATCAGCACAGAGTTGGCCTCGCCCGACTCGATCGAGGCCTCCAGAATGTCGTGCAGATCGCGCCGCTGCCGCTCCCATGCCTCTACTTCCACCGGAGCGTAGCCCTTGGACAGCGTGTGTCGGAGGTACTGCTGGATGACTCTCGCCGCCACGGCATCGTCCACCGTCGCCGTCTCGTCCTCCAGCTGTCGCGTCCGCTTGGTCGCCAAGCTGGGCGAGGACGGCCCTGGCCCAGCCGTGGACCCAGCCGCAGGACCCGAGTTTGTGGTACGCCTCCGCTTGCGGGTTCCCGACATGTATTTGAACGTGTACGTGTGTGTGTGTGTGTGTGTGTGTGTGTGTGTGTGTGTGTGTGTGTGTGCGGGACAAGGGAGGGGGTGGCTGAGCTAAGTGCAGTGTGGGCTTGGTTGGCGGGGGAGGGGGAGGGGGGGGTTTGGGGGAGGAGTGTTGGGGGAGGAGTGGTTGGGGAGGGTGCGATGCGAGATGGATGCTGTGGGGAGGATGTGAGGTACTTCCACATGACACATAATTACACATACACATGTATGTGGATATACATATGAGTGTGTGGTTGTGCGTGTGGTTGTACATGCATACGGGGATCTTCATTGGGCGGCGGCAGCGGCGGCCTCGGCCTCGGCCTTGGCTTGCTCAAAGGGAGAGGCGATCTGCTCAGCGCCAGACTCGGGCGAGACGACGGTGATGGTCGGGCCACGGCAGACAAGGGTCCCGAGCTCGCGGCTCTCGCCTGAGAGCACAGCCGGGTTCAGCGGGTTCCGCAGCATCTCCACAGCGTTCTCCAGCGTCAGGTTGAGCAGCTGATCGTATCCCTTCAGCACGCCCACCACTACACATCCAGCACCATCCACCACCCCATCATCCCATCACCCCATCCGCACCAGTCCAATCGCGTGTCCACATGAGTATGTACTCTCTCCCTTCATCCCCCCCTCCCCTCTCCCCCCTCGCCCGCATCTCACGTACCCTCGCGTCCGCCAGTGAACTTGACCCGGACCGACGAGCCCAGCAGCGGCTCCATATCCATGACCGACGTCTTGCTCTGAGTACCACCAGTTCCAGTCAATGTCAGTAAGTATGGTGACCTCGCATGCTCCCTCTCCTTTCCTGCCCCCCCCCCCCCCCCCCTCCCCCTTCACGCCCTTTCCCTCCACACCCTCCCCTCCTGACCCCTTTCCCCTCACCCCCCTCCGCCCTCGCTTGGCCATGCCCATGTACGCCCCTCCCTCCCCCCTCCCCCCCCATCCTACCCCATCCCTCCCTACCCCACATACCATGCTCTCTGTGTGTGCTGTAGTCGGATGTCCCCCCTCTCCCCACCCCCATCCCCACCCCGACCCCCCCACTCCTTCCGATCGTGATCACGATCACGATCACGATCGCCACCACATTCGACGACCCCTCCCGATCACAAGCGCACAGCCTCCACAGGACAGCCAGCCAGCCACGGCGTTGACGAAAAAGGTCGTGCTTCGACACCGCTCTCTCACACACCCATCAACCATGGCTGCGGCATCCGACACGCCGCAAATTCTGACCCACATTGCACACTCTGTCACGTATACGGTGTTCGATACCAAGTGGGTGCCGCGGTCGGCGCGGGCTGTGGGGGTGGGACAGACCGCGCGGGGGCGAGGCATCATCCAGGTCTACTCGCTGGGCAAGAAGGGGACGCTCCAGGTGGAGGCCGAGACCGGCAAGGCTGCAGGCTTCAAGTGCGCGACCTTTGCAGCGTCTGCGCTGGAGGACAGGTTTCTGGCTACAGGCGACTTCTCCGGCCGCCTCGCGGTGTGGGACCTCGACCACCCAGAGCTCCCTGTCTACGCTGCGAGCGCCCACGACGGCATTGTCAACGCCATCGATGGTATCGGCGGCGTGCTGGGCGCCGGTGCGCCCGAGATTGTCACCGGCGGTCGCGACGGCGTAGCCAAGGTCTGGGACACGCGTCAGAAGAACGAGCCAGTGCTTGCCCTCAAACCAGCCGCAGGAAGCGATACCCGCGATTGCTGGGCCGTCGCCTTTGGCAACGCGTACTCGGACGAAGAGCGGACGGTGGTGACCGGCTACGACAACGGCGACGTCAAAATGTTCGATCTGCGCATGTCCAAGCTGGTGTGGGAGACAAACGTGGCCAACGGCGTCTGCCATCTCGCCTTTGACCGCCCAGACATCGAGATGAACAAGCTGTACGTCTCGACGCTCGAGTCCAAGCTCCGGGTCTACGACATGCGCACCTTTTCGGAGGACCTGGGCTATGCCCACGTCACCCACGCCGACTCGGACTGCACCGTCTGGCGCTCCGCCCCGCTCCCGCAGGACCGCGATGTGTTTATGGCCGCCTACGGCAACGGCTCGCTCTCACTCTGCAAGTACAAGTACCCAGACAAGCGGTCCGAGACCGACGCCCAGGGCAAGCCTGTTGGCGTCGCCGGCTCGGTCATCCCGCTCGCCTCGGCCTCCATCTCCACGCAGCCCATCCACTGCTTCGACTGGTCCGCCGACAAGCGCGGCCTCTGCGTCTTTGGCTCGTTTGACCAGTGCATCCGCGTCGGCATCGTCACCCGTCTGGAAGTTGTTTAGCCCCAGCCGATCGCCGCCTACCATTATGCCCCCTCTACTGCCAGCCAGGCTGCCCACCCAACAATTATCATGCCACTACCAGCCCTTCCTCCTCCGCCCCGCCCCAAATCGGGCTAACCTTCTATTCCGGCCACCCCCACCCCCCCACCTCCCCGCCACCTCACTTCCCCTCCCCACCCCCCCCACTGCCAAGCGAATGGGCCAATCTGCGTCCAAGGACACGCAACAGTACCGCGAGGGGTATCCGGGACTGCAGGACGATCCGAGCGAGAAGAGCAACGCCGAGTTCTACCTCAACCTCCGAGCCAGTGAGCCATCCGGCGATACCATTGAGAACATCCACAAGCAATGGTGGGGCAACTACGAGCTGCTTGAGCGCCATCATGGCTACATTCAATGGCTCTTCCCCATTCGTGAACAAGGTCTCAATCATCGTGCTCATCGTCTGCATCTTCATGAAATCGCTACCATCAAAGCCGATCCTGTGGCTCTCGCCAGACTCATCACCTCGTACAAGATGATGCTCGACTTTTACGGCATGGTCCTCCTGGACGAGTCCACAGGTGCTATCGGCCGCAAGGATGACAACTACCGCGCTCGTTACGCCCATCTCAACTCCTCCTATCACAACTACCTCCGCATCACGCGCATTCTCAAGTCGCTCGGCGAGTTTGGGTTTGAGCACTACAAAGCTCCCTTTGTTCGCCATGTCATGACAGAGATCTTTGTCCACAAGAACCTCATCCGTGCCCGCGACTCGTGCATCAACTACTGGGCGCCCGTCATCCGCGACGATGCCGCCCGTGACGCACTCGAGGGCGAGCTGGCCGCCTTTGTCAAGTCCCAGCCCGTCGCCCGCTATGATCCCTACGCCCGCTACCGCGCTGCCGCCGCTGCCTATGCAGCCTCTCATCCGAGCGACGACGACAGCGACGACGACGATGAGAACGGCAATGGTGGCCAAGCCGAGCTCGAAGACGATTCGTACGAGTGGTCGTCGACCGAGGGTATCGACGACGAGGCTCCTGTCGGCTCCTCTCTCACCCCACCGCTGCATCTGCCTCTGCCGCCGCCGCCGCCTCCGCCGCCACCACCACCGGCGCCGCCGCCGCCTCCGCCTCGGTTCCCTCCCCGATGGAGACCGAAGACGATGTCACCACTGCCTGAAACTAAACCTACTTATCTCTGACCATCTCTCTCTCTATCTCTCTCTCCCCCCACACACCGCACTATGGCCGATCCCGCCACCCGCCTCGCGGCCATCCGATCGATGCGGGCCAACTGGATGCGCGAGCGCGAGGCATCATCTATCCGCAACGACCTGTCATCGCCCACAGCAACCTCGGCGCCGTCTCCGACCGCAGCCGCCCCGACCCAGCCGCGATCACAGGCCGAACTCCTCGATGCCCTCACCGCCCGCATCTCCGCCAAACTCGAAGCCCGGCTCTCGATGAGCCACGCACCATCGCCATCGCGTGTTGATGCAGCTGCCAGCGGCGACAGGGTCGCCCGCCTCGCAGCTACGTCTGTCATCGAGCAGCTCTCGGCCGCGTGCGTGGTGTGCATGGAAGTGTACTCGATGACGACCGAGGCGCTCCGGCCGGTCCTCCTCGTCCCTTGTGGGCACACGCCGTTCTGCCATGGCTGCTTCCTCGCCTTCTCCAAGCGCTCGGCCCAGCACGTCTGTCCGCTCTGCCGTGCGCCCATCTCCTCGCAGACGCCCAACGTGGTCCTCGGCCAGATGATGGACGCGCTCAAGACGGCCGAGCCGGCGACTGTGACCAGCAGCGCCAGCCTTGCGGGCGACTCTGCCGCAAACAGCTTGCCCGACCCTGCCTCGTGTGCAGCCGAGGAGGCCCACCTCGCCGCGCTGCTCGAGCCTACTGGCGCGAGTGTCGGCCGCCACGACCTCGCCCTCGCAGCCCGCTACCTCAAGGATCTGCGGTCCAACTCGCTCCGCCTCGACGTTCTCGCTGCTGAAGCGAGCCAGGCCCATGCCGACCACCGCCACTTTGTTGCCAAGGCCTCTGCGGGGGAACTGGTTGCGCATCACCTCGCCGACGAGCGCGGCGCGCTCTCGGCACGTATTGACGCCTTGCTCGCCGAGCGCGCTGCTCTCGACGCACAGATCGCGAGCCACAGCAGTAAGCTCACTGCCATCGCCCGCGAGGCCCAGCTGGCGGCCGACGAAGCCGCTCTCTTGGACGAGACCATCGCGGGCGTGAAGCGCCAGACAGCCAAGGCGCGTCTCCTACTCGACGGCCTTCTCCCACCCGGCATCGCGGCAGCTGCCACCTCTGGAGACTACATTCTTCAATAACTCGAGACATCAGCGTCGCTGGCCTTGAGGCCCTCACTCCGCCGCACGCTCTGCGGCTTGTTCTCGTGCTTGGCGCGAAGAACACGGTTTCCTCGGCAAGCGCCGCCAGCCGGACCTCGTAGCCGGGGTCGACAACGCCGGCTGGCGCGGCCGCTGCCGACAGCGCAGCCTGCTTCACCCGCAGCTGATCTTTGAGCACTGAAATGGTCCGCTCTTGCTCCACCAGACGGCGGTGCAGCTTCTGGATGGAGACGTCCTCGCGCTCGCGCTCGTTCTCCAGAAGCGCGATCTTACGCTGGAGCTTGGTCGCCTCCACCAGCTGCTGCTCAAGGCCCATGTTGGCGGCGTAGAGCCGGTCTGCCCGGGCCCGCTGCTGCGCAGACTCGGCGAGCGCTGCCTGCAGCTCGGTCTTGGTGCGGTGCAGCTCCGATTCGAGCCGTCCGTTGGTCGCATCGCCCTGCGCCACTTCTTGCTCTAGCGTCTTGAGCAGCCGGTGCAGCTCGTCGACTTGCTTTTTGTACTCGTCGACTAGCGTCGACGAGTCCGGCCCAGTTCCGCTTCCACCCGAGCCCTGGCTTTGCGACCGCGCCATCATCGCCATCTTGTGCTCTAGTGCCCGATTCTCGCGAAGGAGTGCGGCATCGGCGCCCGTCAGTCCGGCCCCAAACACCCGCGCGCTCTGCTGCGACTGCGAGAGCTGCTGCAGTGCCGTCTCCAGCTGCGCTGCATACCGCCGCGCAGGCTCGAGCTCGCTCCGCAGCTCTGCAATGAGCTTGTCTTTCTCCTCCGACCCGCCCTCGAGCTCCGCCACACGCTGCTGCGCATGCCCTAGCTCCGCCCGCATTCGTCCCAGCTCGGCGTCGGCTGCCGCACGGGCTTCAGCAAGCTCGAACGACCCGTTGTGCGCCCGGATTGGTGACGTCGGCACCTGTGCTCGTGCCGCAGCAGCCTCAGCCACCGCGGCGTCACGCGCAGCTTCGGCCTTGTCGCGTGCGGCCTCGGCCGCCCGCGCCACAGCCTCGGCTGCGGCCTTGTCCGCCACCGCAGCGTCACGCGCCGCCCGCGCCTCGCTCGCTCCTCGCGCCTTCTCCTGCAACTTGGCCATGACGGCCTCCAGCGAGCCGGTGACCTCAGCTAGCCGGCTGCGGTAGGCGTCGACGTCACGGAGCGCCGCGTCGCGCTCGGCAAGAAGCTCCTGCATCTGTGCCGCCCGCGCCGCGTCGGCCTCGGCCTGCACCCGTGCCGCGTCTTCGGCCTCGACATTAGAGACCAGCTCAGCCATCCGCTCCCGGATAGTTGCCTCCATCGTCTGCGTCGCCCGCGCCAAAAGCGCCACCGACTCGTCCTTGGCCGCCATCGTCTCGTCCAGCAGCCGCTCCAGCGCTGCCGACTCGGCCGCTTCCTGCGCCGCCATCGACTCGTCAAGCCGCGAACGCAGCAGGCTCACGTCATGAGTCATCGACCGCCAACGCGCCTCCGACTCGACCGCAAACGTCGACTGCATCTCGTGGATGGCTGCCGAAATCTGGTCCGCCGCACTCGTCTGCACCAACTCTAGCGTCCGCGACATCTGCTCACGCAGCGGCGCCTCGGCCACTTGGGCCTCGAGCGCCGCCAGCCGCTCGCTCTTGAAAGCCAACTCGCTCTCCAGCTCTGCAATCCGGGTACTCTCCACTGTCTGGGCCTTGGCGTCTGCTACTTGCTTCATCAGCCGCTCGATCCGAGCCTGCAGCTTGGCCTGCTCCTCGCTCGCCCGTGCTCGCTCCTCGTCGACCAGCGCCGCCACAGCATCCTCGGCAGCCTGTGACTCGACTCGCTTCACCAGCTGAGCGTGCTCTAGCTGGAGCGCATCGAGCGACTCGCGGAGCTGCGCTTCGGTCTCGCGCGCCTGTGCGAGCTCCCACTCCAGGTCGCGCTTGGCCGCAACGAGAGAGTCGCGCGCGCCGAGCGCTTCGTGCGCCGCTCCCTCCAGCTCACCGTAGCGCTCGACATACGCGGCGAGATCCTTCGACGCTACCGCCACCGCTTCGCGGAGCTGCTCTAGCTCGGCCTGGACCATCTCCAGCTGCGCCTCGGCATCGCGGAGCGCCAACTTGTCCGCCGCCGCCGCCGCCGCCGCCGTCGCCGCCGCCTCAGTCTTCTCCAGCAAACGCGTTGGAGCTCGTCGAGCTTGGGCTCGAGCATCGCGTTCCGCACAGATGCCCGCTCCATCTCAGCGAGCGCATCGTTGGCCACCAGGCTCCCGCCCTGCAGCACCCCGTCGGCAGCATCGACGCTCCGCTGAAGCTCGGCCACGCGCTCGCGGAGCTGTGCCAGCTCAACGGCCTGCGCCTCGAGCTTCGTCGCGTCGGCAGCTGCAGCCGTCGCTGCGTCCTCGAGACGGGTCCGGAGCTCACGGTTGGCGCCGGTCAGCTCGTCGATCTGCTCCTTGCTTGCCCGCCACGACTCGGCCGCCGAGCTCGCTGCAGCCTTGGCCTTGGCGGCTGCAGCCTCAGCCTCTGCACGCACCTCTTCGTGCCGACGGATCTGCTTGGCGGCTTCGCTTCGCGCGGTGGCAATGGCCTCCTCGCGGTCGCGCTCGCGGATGCGCTCGCGGTCGGCGCGCTCACGCTCACGCTCGGCCTCGACACGCTCGACCTCGCGCATGCGGACCCGCTCTTCGTCAAGCCGGCGCTGCTCGCGCTCCTGGTCGCGGCGCTCGCGCTCCCGGTCGCGCTCGATGGCGCGAACCCGCTCGCGCTCCCGCTCGGCCCGCTCGCGCTCAGCCTCGAGCCGCACCCGCTCGCGCTCGCGCTCGCGCTCCTTTTCACGCTCAGCCTCGGCTCGCTCGCGCTCGATGTCGCGGATGCGCTCGAGCTCGATCCGCTCGCGCTCGCGCTCTTTCTCTCGGTCCTGCATCTCGCGGATGCGCTTTTCGTACTTGGCCCGCTCGCGGTCGAGAAGCTCACGCGCAGCATCGGCTGCCGCGGCTTGTGCCGTCGCCTGCATGGCCGACTCGGCCATCTTTTCGCGGGATGTCTGCACATCGCGCTGCAGGCCGGCGAGTTCCAGCTGGAGCTGGGTGACCCGGGTCGAGAGCTCGGCCGCCAGCGCCCGCTCACCATCGCGCTCGCGCTTGGCTTCTTCCAGCGCGCCAACCGCGTTCTCAAGATCACGCTGGGCAACTGCGAGTTGGACGTGCAGGTCCGGCTGAGAGTGGATTGAAGCATCCTTCAGCCGTGCCTCTAGGTGCTCAACGTTGGCGTTGGCACGTGCGAGCTCGCTCTCAAGCACCTCGTTTCGCGCCGCGAGAGCTGCGCCGCCGTCGGCCTTGCGTAGCGCGTCTTCTAGCGCCTCGACATCCAGCCGGGCGGCCTTGATCTTGCGGTGGGCCTCCGACTGCGCGGTCTCAGCCTTTTCGTTGGCACTTGCCACCTTCTCCATCGCTTCGGCAAGCTCCTCACGGAGGTGCGCCTTCTCGTTGGCTGCTGCCTTGGTCACCTTGGTCAGCTGGCGGTCAGCAGCCTCGCGCGCGTCGTGCTCGAGCGTCAGCTGTCGAGTCAGTTTTGTCTTTGTCTGCTCAAGCTCCGCCACCTGTGCCTCGAGATGGGCCAGGTGCTCACGGGTAGTGGCTGCCCGCGCCAGCTCGCGCTGAGCCACCGAGTGCTTGGACCGCAAGTCGTCAAGCTCGTCAATAAGCGTGTCAATCCGCTCCTTGAGCGAGCTCCGCTCCGCGTTCCACTGCGAGGCCCGGGCGTTCAGCTCGCGCTCGGCCTCCTCGCGCCCCGACGTTGCCATGTGCAGCGCCCGTCGCTCGGATGCGTACTTGGCCTGCAGCTCGGCAATGAGTTCCTGCTGCGCCTCGGTCTCGTTGGCGGCCTCGGCGTCCTTGAGCTTGCGCCGCAAGTCGCGAACAGAAGTTGCGTGCCGGTCCTTGAGGTCTGCGAGGTCGTCAGCGAGCGCAGTGCACTTGATCTTGAGTGCCGAGCGGTCCGCTGCCAGCGCCCGCTCCTTGGCAGCAGCCTCGCGCTCGGCCTCAGCCCGCGATGACTCGGCCTCGTCGAGACGTCGGGTCAGTGAACCGACCTTGACTTTGAGCCGGGCGGCCTCGTCGGCATGGCTCTGGGCCTCTGCCCGCGCTTGCTGCAGCGCCTCGGCGAGCTGGGCCCGTCCGCGCTCGACTGCCACGAGGCTCTCGCCGCCTTGCCCAAAGCTCCCCCTCTCGTTCCCACCCCCGCTCCCTCCGGCATCAAGCGCTGTGAGGATGCGTGACTCAGAATGGAGCATCTGGTCCTTCATGGCCGAGAGCTCGGCCACCATCTCGTTGACGGTCTCGTTCTTGGACCGCAGCGCATCTTTGAGTCGCGCGTTCTGGTTCTGCAGTGAGGCAATCTCGTCGCGCATGAGCATCATCTCTTGTTGGTTGAGCCCTGGCATGGCTTGCTGCGGATGCGGGTGGAGCGGGAAGCCGCCGCCGACGGACGCGCTGGCCTGTGCCTGCGCCTGTGCCGCCTGAAGCTGGGCGCGCAGCGACGCGATCTCCGCTGCCGCCGACGATGCTGCGTGGGCCTGCACGCCCGAGTTGTCGATCTGCGCCCGCATGGCACCGGCCTCGCGGCGGGCCTGCTCGAGTTGGCTCCGCGCTTGGTGAAGCATCGAGGTCAGGTGTGCGTTCTCCGACTCGAGCGCAGCCTTGTCCGACCGCAAGCCGCCGACCGAAGCGTCGACCTCGAGCTGCATGTTCTTGAGAATGGCCTCGTACTCGGCGCGGGTCTGCTCGCGCATCATCTCCATCTGCCGCAGCATGGCATCGTCATTGGTCGAGCCCGAGAGCGACGCCAGCCGCTGCTCGAGCATCTTGTTCTGCGAGCGGAGCGCTGCCATCTCCTGCGAGGTCTCGAAGGATGCGCGGTTGGCATCGAGCGCCGCCGCCTCGGCACACGAGACCAGATCATTGATCTTGCCCTGCAAACGAGCATTCTCTTCCTTGAGCGAGCTTGCCGCCGTCTGTGCCGACGTCAGCTCCCACTCGAGCGTCCGCACCCGCTGCGCCAGCTCGCTGTTCTCGCTCCGTGCGCTCGCCAGCTCCGACTCGAGCAGCTTGAGCTCGGTCACCATCTCGTTGAGCGGCTGCACATACTCGAGCGGTACACCGCCATTGCCTCCGCTCCCGCCTTCTGTTGCCGAGGACATAATGCCTCTGCTGCCCGACGAGTCTGTCTCGCTCTCGTCCGTTGCCACCTCCTGTCACACTGCTCGTCCACCGCTCGCTCCCGCCTTGGCGCGCCGTCACCCGTTCGACCACAGACGTACAAATTTTGATTTCAAATTCGTTCGCTGCCCTCCGCCGCTGGAGAGCACACGAATGACAAAGTGGAGAGCAGCGGAAAAGAGGACCTTGTTTCGATGGAAGGAAGGCCATGTTTAACCATGGGTGAATACCGAGAGGTGGGGTCCTGGCCCTCCCTCCTTCGCGCCCTCCGCTCACGCCATTGCCATGCAAGCTTGCCGGGAAGACGCATGCGCAGTCTAGTGGGCATTAAGCTTGTACGGCACCACAGCCATACCGTCGTCACTACCCCGCGCCCTGCCGCCTCATCATATTCCGCTTCCGGGCGAGTCGCAAGTGGCCGCCGTTCCGCAACGAAAATGTCGTTGTCTGCTACGGTACCCGGCATGGTCGAGAGGAGAAAGCCGTGTACAGTCTGCAACCACCCCGTAGAGACTTATACATCGACACGCGGTAGCAAGTATGTACGGAAGCGGTGGTAGGTGTGTTAATTTCTCGGCTGCAGCTTGTCGGGGCCGCAGAAGGCGACGGCGAGACCGAGTGAAAACGGAGGACGGAGGACGCGGCGGCTAGCACCCGGTAGAGACGATGGAGCCGCAGTCACCGCAGCGCTTCTGCGGCATGAGGAGGCAGCAGATGAGCCCAATCGGGAAGAGGAGAACGGCAGTCACAATGCCGCAGCCGGTAAAGCTGTCCAGCGTGCGGTTGTGCGGGCAGCGGCCGTTGCCAGCAACCACCACCGTGTGCTGCGGCGGCTGTGCGTACTGGGCCTGTGCCGGGGCAGCAAACTGTTGCGGCGGCGGTGTCGCGTGCTGCTGCTGCGGGGCCGCGTACTGCGGCGGCGCATCGTTGCCCTCCATCTCGTTGCCCATCGTTGCTCTTGTCTTTGTCTCGAGTCGAGTGTACCTTTTTGCACACTCTATCCGCTTCCTCTGCCAAATAAGGAACTCGCCGGCTCTGCAAAAACAAGCACACACTGACAACACCGGCCACCGAGTGCCATACTCGCCACCACGCCACCCTCAGCCTCCGCTATACTTGCCTACTACCACCCGTACCCTTGCATGCTTTCCTTCCCTGTCCTTCCTCCCCCTTGCTTTCTTCTCTCATCCTTCCTGCGCTTCTTTCTTCATTATATACCTCCTCCTGAAACAGCCCACCACAGCCCCCTAGCGACTCCACATATACAGCGGGGGCTGTTTCATCCGCGCGCACTCCCTCCCGATCAGCCAAACCACCGAGGATACAGCCCACCACAGCCCCCTAGCGACTCCACATATACAGTGGGGGCTGTTTCATCCGCGCGCACTCCCTCCCGATCAGCCAAACCACCGAGGATACAGCCCACCACAGCCCCCTAGCGACTCCACATATACAGTGGGGGCTGTTTCATCCGCGCGCACTCCCTCCCGATCAGCCAAACCACCGAGGATACAGCCCAACACCGTGGTCTATTTCAACCGAGTAGCCGCCCCGCCGAACCCCCCCCCCCCCCTCCCCCCCCCCCGAAAATTATGGCTCAAGCCAGTGCAGCCGTCCAGCCAGCAGCTGACCAGAGCTCCAGACAAGCGGCACCCCTCGCCAGCAGACATGTCGACACGACCAGGGTCGCCAACGAGCCCACGAGTGGGCAATGCAGAGCAGGGCGAACCTGAGCTCCTCATTCAGGCGTACTTTGAGCTTGGGCCGGATGAGGATGTGCTCGAGTTTGAGGGCAACAAGTTCCTGGTGTGCGTCAACGGGTCCAAGCACTCGAAGTGGGCCATGCGGTATACTATGGAAATCATGCAAGAGAATGATCGGCTGTACCTGTTCCATGCATACTCGCCCAAGGAGAACCCAAAGTATAAGGACGAGGCTCTGGCTCTGGTGGAGGAGCTGGTGACCGAGGCCAAGTACGCCAACGAGTGGCTTTCCATCGCCTCGATCCTCTTGCCTACCAAGAAGGTCAAGGAGGCCATCTGTGACATGGCGCTTGCTCTCGACATGTCCTTTGTCGTTCTTGGCACCACCCGTCGCGCCCGTATTGTCTCCAAGTTTGCCGGCAACACCGGGCTTCACGTCGTCCACCACTCGCCGCTCCCGGTCATTGTCGTCACCGACTCGTACGATCCGGTCAAGCCGCACAACTGGTGGGTCCTCCACGTCGACTTTACCCGCGCTGCGCACCACGCCTTCCACGTTCTGCGGCCGATGGTCAAGCACACCACAGAGGTTGATCTCGTCCACGTGTTCTCGGGCGAGGACCCGGACCCGGTCAACGTCCGCAAGATGGAGGAGTACACCGCCCGCTTTGCTCGCGAGCAGCGCGGCAAGGACTGCACCTGCGAGACTCGCATGGTCTCTGGCAACGTCTCCACCGTCCTCACAGAGGTTGCTTCCGAGCCGGGCGTCACCCTCCTGGTTCTTGGCTACACGCCCGAGACGTACAAGGAGTACATTGCCCACTGCCTGTTCAACGCCACCGCCGAGGCCATTCTCGTCGTCAAGACGCCACTGCCCAAGTTCGATTCGCTTGCCTCGAGCTCAGGCGTCATGCCGCGCCTCAAGGTCACCGCCTCAACCGACAACCTGCATGACGCCGACGAGGCCGCAGAGGCCATGCTCGCCGGTCGCCGCACCCGCGTCCGCGCACTCTCGGTCGCCGACCCGCGTCTCGCCGACGACGACGTCGACACCCATGCCAACGCCGCCTATGACCCCGACGCTACCGAGAAGGACAAGGCCGACAAGGGCAAAGGCCTCGCCCCGGGCCAGTCGCCGCCGTCGTCGCCACGCTCCGGCTGTTCTACCCACCTCCACGACTCGTCCGCGCCGCAGTCGACCAAGGCCTCGGACTCGGACTCGGACTCGGACTCGGACTCGGACTCGGGTACGGGCACGGGCTCGAGCTCGGACTCGGACTCGGACACGGCCACCGGCACGGATACAGTCTCAAACTCGGGCTCCAGCTCAAGCTCCGACTAGCACTACACGCTACCGGTCGCCGCTCGGCCGTGCTGCGGTCCACAGCGGGACCATGGTCGGCCGCCCGTGCGCGCACTGGAACGGCAACTCGCACTCGATCAAGTCGTCGAGAATGGCCTGCTGCTGGCCTACGTCGAGCTCGTCGCCGAACCGGACCGCCGAATGGCACGCAGCCGAGTGCAGCGCGTGGGTGATCAGCCGTGGCACAAGCCGGCTGCTCCGCGCCTCAAGGACGGCATTGGCGTAGGAGACGACGCCAGCCCAGACAGTCGCCGACAACGCACCCGCGCCGATAATGCTCGGCAACGTCGCCACTTCCACCACCGTCTCCAGCACCCGCGCGTCGATGCCCCACTCGTGCAGCGCGTCGCGCGCCTCGTTCACCACCAGCGCCTCGGCCGGCGACGCCGCAAACACCATCGGCCGCGCCAAGTGGATAATCCGCGCCACCCGCGGCACTATCCCGGCGTCCAGCACCACGTCGGCCTCGAGCGCCTCCAGCCGCGTCCGCTCGTGCGCCGCATGCTGATCCACCACCACCAGCCAACCGTTCGAGACCAGCCGCGCGAGGATAAACTCGGCGTTGGCCTGTCCCACCGCCACAAGCCCACTCTTCAGCGCGGCCTTGGTCAGCTTGACAGGCACCAGCGCACGGGCGGATGTCTGGCTCCCTTCGACTGCCGAGCCAAACTGTCGCGGTTGCCAACATTCAAAGAGCGTGCGGACACGGTCGGCAGCGCCCGGCGTCGCCACGCGCGCACTGCTAGCCGCCAAGCTCCGCCCCCCGTGCCGCAGCAGGCGCGGCACCTTGCGAGGCCGCGCGTTGCCGCTCTCACCATTGCTGTCACGCCGCCGTACCCGCGCCGACGCCGAGCTCCGCGACTCTGCTAGCTTGTCGAGCGTCGCCCGCCGGGTCGTTGTCAGCGATCCGAAGAGCGGCACAGTTAGCTTGGGAGGCGGCGCGGCGTAGTTTTCATCGTCGTCGCTCTCCAGCGTCGCGCCTGCCGTCGCCAGCAGACGCGCCAGATCGCGGGAGGCCTGACTAGCCGACGGCGCTTCGGGCCGGATCCGTCGCAGCGTATACGGCGATGACGCGAGCGACGCCGCCGCCGCCGTCTCCCGAACCGACGGCGGTGAATTTGCGCCGCGCTCAACACGGCCGACAAGGCTGGCCCGTGACAGCGGTCGCGAGACTGCAGCCGCCAGCGCGCTCGCGACAACCTCAGCCAACGCATCCAGCGCCGCGCGTCCGACAAAGAGTGACGAGTAGACGACATGAATTCGGTCTGCCAACGAGGCAAGCTCATCATCGAGCGCATCGCCCGCAACCACGCCACCACCACGCCGAAGACGCAGCTCGAGCGACGCTGCAGGCATGGCAATGTCTACCACGCAAGCCAGATACCGAGCTCGCACTCGTGCACTTGCCTTGGCCGCGCCGTTTGGCGAGAAAATGAGACCGGGGTGCCCGCGAGCTCCGGCGAGGTCGCCGGCCGCCACCGGCAGCCCACAGCTTGCCACCAGCTGGGCATCGGCCCACACGCCACGTGCAATGCCCAGCAGCAGCTTGTGGATCGGCGAGCTGCGCGCGAGTGGCACTGAGTTGATGCACACGTGCATGACCGACGGCGACGCGCCAAACGTCCGCGGGTGCCCGATGACATCAGCCTTCCCGCCGCCCGGAAGCGGCAAGAGCATGTCGGCAGTGGCTCGACCGAGGTAAAACGTCGTTGGCGATGTGTGCAGCGGCCGTGGCGGCAGCAAATACTGCTTGGCGCCCTTGTCCCACACCGAGAACGCCACATCGGGCCGCGCTATCGCGAGGCGGCGCACAAAGTCCGCAATCTCGCCCAGCTGCGGCCGCGCTCGTCCGGCCTGCGCCCGCACAGGCAGACATGCAAACAAGTCGTGGAAAGCAACTCGAGTCTCAGCCCAGTCGGGCAGCGGGTGCAGGACCCGCCCGCGATGGACGAGCTCGTATCCGGCGTCATCGCCAGAGTCCACCACCGGCGGCGCAACCGTTTGGCACCAAACTCGCGCGAGGCAAACTCAGCAAGCCCTGCCGTGGATGCTAGCGCCGCCAGCGCTCCTCCGCGCGGGCGGACTTCTGACGACTTCTTGGAAGTGGCAAAGCGGACAAAGACAAGATCCATATCGTCGGCACACGACAGTCCGCCGCCGTTGTCGATCACGCTCGCCGTGAGGCTTCTCGGCTCGAGCGCCACCGCAATCTTGGAAGCCCCGCTCTCCACAGCGTTGATGACCAGCTCAAACACCGCATGTGCGAACGAACCGACACGTGCTGCACCCACCACACGCACAGCAGAAGCCGGTGCAAGCACACGTATCTGCCTGGTCGCCATGGAGGAGTGTGGGCGTGCGGGGAGGAGGGGACATTCGTGGTGACCAGGATCGTCGTCAGGATCGTGATCGCGATCGCGATCGCGATCGCAATCGCAAGCGCAATCAAGTGCCGGAGCAGGAGCAGGAGCCAGAGCTGCGCATGCAAGAACCTTTCAGAGGGTGGGCAGCCAGCCAGGATGGATTGTTGAAACATAAAG